AAATTTAATTATAATGATGAAAACTGCTATATAATACAAAAGAATTTTGCATGAAATCATTATGAAGCAACGTGTTATCATACTGTTGATTAAATATTAAATTAGGAAAAATAAATGAACAATAACGGTTTGACCGAAATCAAGGTGCAGTTAAAAATTGTACAGTTTTCACCAGAAAAATAATTCGTACTATCTAAGGATTTTCTATAACACTACACTTTTAGAGAGCTTGGGGTATGTACATGCTAGATATAACTCATATTGGCCGGGCTGATACAAGGCATTTTAAAGTTTGTCAACCAAATTTCATGAAGCTAGAATTAATTTGTGGATGAAATTAAATATTCCAATTAACACAATACTCACCTGGCTACAGTGTTGCACATAATGCTGAAATGTTTTTAAACAAAAAAATTTATGTTGAGATAACAATTAATTATATCTTTACTGAAAAAATTATTTTGAACTAAGTTGATGATGACTTCCATCGACCTCCTCGTAAAATCTAAATCATCTGCCAACCTTGCTGTACATCCCAGATCACCAGACTTTCTTGTATTACATATGTGTCATCCTTTAGGTTTGGTGAATCACTGTTGCCCAGCAGTACCTATGAATTAGGGTATGCATGAATATCAGCTTAATTAAGTATTTATATATTATCACTCTAAATTTATTCATAAAAACATAAGTTAAAAAATTATATATAAATTTTATTTAAATAAATTAAAAATAATTTATGAGACATATAAATTATTTTTATAAACTCAATTTTTTAAAACACACCCTTAATATCAAACGATTTGATCAATGATGAATTGAGGAAATCCTTTCCATTACTTTCATTCAATTTGAAATGCATTATAATTTTAACCAGCAAAAGTTTAAGCGCAAGTTACCATTAATTAATTCAACATATTTTAGAGGATGTTTTTCCCAGTTTTACATGTTCACTTGTTATTGAGAAGCAACTTTGTATGCTATCCTCTGGCTAAACAAGGACCGATTCACGAGAATATAATATTGTGAGAGGCTATATAGTGAATATTAGTGGTCCAAATTTTTTGTTCTTCTAAAAACAAAAATACACAGATACATTAATGTAATAGTGAAATTGCAAAAAAAATGGAGGGGACATGGCCTCGAGCTTCACTCTGCGCCACCCCTTCTCTCATATTAGATATCTATGAGTAATTGCAAGTGATCCCTCGTTATTCCTAAGAATTCCCTTCAACTCTAAGGCAACCTTTCTAAATAAAATAAAACAAAATCTTACACCTTCAGCATTAACTAGCTTCATCAAGATCTAACATTTTGACTTGATGAATTACATCTTTTCTTTCTTTCTTTTTTGTAATCTAATCTACATGTTTGTTGGTAGATGAATTGCATTTTCAAGTTTTAAAATTAACCAAAAAAAAAAAAAAAAACAAAGAAGAAAGGGACAATGATGTTACTCTTGCCGCCCATGGATTGGCATAAGCATATTACAAAACAAAGAGCGCTTATGAAAATGGCGGCTTAGACGGCCTATGTCAAACTTGGTTGACCTCCATCTTCAATTATAACTAGTCATTTTAAGGGAGAATTATTTAATTAAAAACCCAAACTCACTTATTATAATGTTGATACTTTTCACTTTAAGTCAGATACGTGTGCCTATATGGGTGCGTTTAGATTAGTACTAATTTTGACTGGATAAATTTATTTTGAAACCCATTGTTGAACTAAAATTTTGTATCGTTTAAATTGTATGTATAAAATCTTAATTTAAGTTAAAATTATTTGATATTTTATTGATACATTAAAATAAACATAATACATTTTATTAAAATGTATAAAAAGAAAAAATAGTATAATTGTATTTTTTTTTATTATATAAAAACTGGCATAAATAATTATGATGATGTGTAATTATGCTTTAATAGTTGAATTAAAAAAATTATATATATTTTTGTGTCAATTTATTAAAGGATTTAAAAGTGTTAAATCTTTCAATGGTATAAATCAATCCTTCCCCACAGGCACACACAATGCACTAAAATATACTAAAAATATGATAATTTAATTGAATTCAAATACATAAGTGTTCCAAAAATTTCTCGTAATAAATAAGCTTTTTAGCTATCAAAAAAATTTTGGTCTGCATGCAAGTAATTATTGAAAAAAAGAAAAACTCAGGTATGAATGCAAGTCAACAATACCCAACCTGCCCCCCTCTTTTCTCTCTCTTCACACTTTCATTTTATGATTAGGTAATGTAGAATGCAAAAAGTAAGATGAAATGAAGGACCTTGTCCTTGTTGTATTTTCTTAGTTCTGCCTTTTTAATAAGTATAACTAAATATCTCACTTTTTATATTTTTGGACACTTTTTATTCTATTTATAAAATATACTAAACATAAAATAAAATATATACATATATTTGTTCTGTTTTATACTTTCATTTACCTACCAAATATATATACATAAAAGTTTAAATTAAATGATGTCGTTCCCAATTTTACTTAATATCTAATTTTATATGGAATTATAATTTATAAAGCTTTATGACTAAATAAAACATTTCACGTTTACATTTATACAAGTGCAAATGATTATTACATACAAAAATTATCATTTTATTTTGTTGAAATAATAAAGTTTTAAATATAGGGTCAGCGAAGAATAGAGGGAAATATTCTTTAAACTATTATTTACTTACATACTATAATGTATTATAATAAAATGTGGTTGACATTTAAAAAGTTTGTGTTCGAAAAAAATTAGTGAATAAGCTTCTTAAAGTTGAGTATTTGATAAAATTAATTTAAATGATTTAAAAAAAATAAATAACATAAATATAAATTTAATTATCACCTTTATATTTAAATTTATATCAAATAATACATTACCTTTTCCTAAAAAAAATTAATTTCACTTTCTATGTATAATTACAGAATAATTTGTTAAACTGGTCTTTCAAATTATAAGTATTAATTAATTAAATTTTAAAAATAAAAAGATAATTTTTAAATTTAGTAATGATCAATTAATTTGATCTTACAATTACATTTTTAATTTAATTCTTGATTTTGACACAACTATCAATAAATTCGATTCCTAAATATAGGAATCAAATTGAATGATACATATCAAAGATTCAAAGTTAAAAACTAAATTACCTAACAGTAATTAAAGTTAGGAATCAAGTCCTAATGCCAACGACGAAAAGTGTCGATAATTACTAATTTTAAGAACATATTTTTTATATTTTTAAAAATCAAATTAATTACTGCTCATAATTTCAAGTAATAATTTGATGTTACTTATTTTAGAAAATTTTAAGATAATATTTTTAAAAAAATTAATGTTAATGGCGCAAACTTTCTTAATAATATTAAAAATTACTTATATCTAGATCTACCCATTAAAGAAAATAATTATTTATGCTGTCAAGTTTTTAAGAATTTAAAAAATAATTATTATTTTGAAAAGAAAAAAACAATTACCCAACATGCACTTAAGATGTTAATTCCAAATTCGCCTATTTCTGATCCTCCAAAACTAATCATCCTTTAAATTACTCCATTATCACCAGATCCGTGGACACTCCTTTGTGGGAACCCTTCATTGAGATCTACGAGCTCTTCGTAGTAGTTTTGATTTGAATGGTTAAAGTGGATCAAGCAACGAAAACCTCACTGATTTCAGTTCATGGGTTTCGATGAAAGAGGGAATTGAATGCAGACACGTTCAAACTTTAAAAGCCAAGCCTATGACAATACCTAAAGATCAACATACAACGGAGGATTTTTAGTTGTACGTATCTCGACTGTCAAAAAAGAATTAGTATTAATAATCTGAAATTACTCTTCCTGCATGCGTAAGTAAATGGTTTAACATGATATAAAATTCAAACCCAAGATTAAAAAATATTGAAACAATATCTAAAGTTTTTTTTTCTTTATTTACGAAAAAACTAAATTTCAATAAATTTTTACTCCTTTGTTTACAACTTCTGCTATTCCAGACCAAACACAGCCTTAATTTTGATAAATTACTTATGTCAAAATGATCTCATTAGTTCCTATTGTAACTTGAGAATTTTTTCTACATTTTTTATCCAAAGAAAGTCAAAGTTACAATCACTATTGCCAGTTGCTGCTATCACTCACAATCATTTTTACCTATACTATTATTATTGTATCATCACTGCTACCATTATTTGCCTTTTTCGCGCGCTATCATCAATATCATTGCTGTAATATATAGCGATAGCTTTAAAAAATTACGTTGCAATATTAAAAATTGTAAGGACTTCACTAACCAACTTGAATAAGCTAGGTAATTTTTATATACTTGCGAGCATATATACGTAATTCCCAAATATAAGTCCTTACAAGATTAGTTTAAAATGACATTAAGATTTCACATGTATATTAAACATCTGCATAAACGAAAATTATTTTCATTTGAGAGTTAAAATTCGATGAATATGTAGAAGAAAATAAGAAATAAAATTGTAGACAAGCTTACAAAAATGGATACAATAATTTGAGGGGGTGAAAGCATGGTGGCCGGGTAGGGGTATCTAAAAGAAATTGGAAATTACGTATATTTGGTTGCCTTGTTGTGGAGACAGAAATACAGGGTGCACTATTTTAGATAACTAAACCAAGTAACTAGTCCTGAAACGAGAGGACAATAGAAGATGGAAAACTAACAAGACCAAGTGCCCTGCATGTGATATGAAAATTACAACAAAGACTGGTTAGAATATTGGGGAGACATGTAGGAGGTCAATCCATTTTAGTAGGTACCCAAAATCCCGTTTGCATATGAAAATTATCAGAGTCGGTTAAGCCTACCCTCCACTCTGCATTCATCAACGTTTCACATATCTCCACGTGTCACCATGCAATTGGTCCCAAACCTGATATGACATACGCATGCAGCCACAAGCACAAGTTCCTCAAAGCTATATTATTGGGGGGCTATCACTCTCTCTCTTTCTCTCTCTTGTAATCTATATAGCCAAACAAACCAAGCAGCATTATAATAGAAGTGGACACAAGAAAAAGGGAAGCTATACCCATAAGGAGAAACACTTTCTCAGAGGTGAAACCAAAAGAGTTTTTCTTTTTCCTTTTCATATATACTCTGCTGCTAAGTTCTGGGTTTCATTCAGAAGCCAAAAATGGCAACTTTGCTTGGAAAGGAGAGTGGTTTGAACCTGAAGGAGACTGAACTTTGCCTTGGCTTGCCTGGTGGCGGTGGCGGCGGCGGCGGTGGTGGAGGTGGCGGTGGCTCTGAGGTGGAAACTCCAAAGGCCACTGGGAAGAGAGGATTCTCTGAGACAGTTGATCTGAAGCTCAATCTTCAATCCAAGGAAGATCTGAATGAGAATCTGAAGAATGTCTCAAAGGACAAGGCCATCCTTAAGGATCCTGCCAAGCCACCAGCCAAGTTAGCCCCTTATCTCACTTCTTTTCTTGCATCAAGTTGATATGTGCAACTTCTTAGTGCTTATTCTCTTCTATTTTTTCTGCTATTTATGTAAGTTTTCATAAAGTTGGCCTGTTAAAAGTTACAATATAAAGTTTGCATATTCTAACTTTTGTGTAGTTTTTGTACCCCAAAAGCGAGAGAGATGTTAGAAAGAGAATAATTTATGTAAGATTGATGAGAATTTGGAATAATATTTCAGGGCTCAAGTAGTTGGTTGGCCACCAGTGAGGTCATATAGGAAGAACATGATGGCACAGAAGGTTAACAGTGAGGATGGTGCTGAGAAGACAACAAGCACCAATACTTCTGGGGCATTTGTCAAAGTTTCCATGGATGGAGCACCTTACCTTCGTAAGGTGGACCTCACAATGTACAAAAGCTACAAAGAGTTATCTGATGCTTTGGCCAAAATGTTCAGCTCCTTTACCATGGGTTAGTACTACAATAACATGATATTTACATCATATTGCTCTCAATTTAAACCACTTTTACCATAAATATGTGACTGAAGTACATATATTACTAACATGTGACAGAATCACGAAAAAAGAAACAACTTAAACATTAACCCAACCTTAATTTTTTTACACTCTATTTATCCATCTTACACCATTTCTTTCTTTTGTTTTTTCTCATTCAATCTATTATTTTCTCGTTTCTTTTAATCGATCTCTTATGCAATGAATATATATATCCCGCGAGAGTGTCACAAAATCATTATTCTTTACAATTTTATGTGCATGTGCCGGACTATGCGAAGAGATAAAACAAGTGAGGTGAAATCAATATATTTTATTTTATTATATCATATAAAGTTTTAGATCCTTGATGCATGGGAATTGTTAATGATGCATGTACGGGTTGGATTAATCATCTTGGGATTGTTACATTCAGCTATATGATTGTGGGTTATTGCTTGCGATTAACTATAAATTAGAAGAATATTAAATTATTTTCTTTTTATTTATGTTTTATATTTGGACTATTGAAGGTAACTATGGGGCCCAAGGAATGATAGACTTCATGAATGAGAGCAAGTTGATGGATCTTCTTAACAGCTCTGAGTATGTGCCAACCTATGAAGATAAGGATGGTGACTGGATGCTCGTGGGTGATGTCCCATGGGAGTAAGTTCTTCATCCAACAACAACCTCTTTAGCAACTATTTTTTACAATAATTTCTTACATAATGCGTCCTATAATATAAATAAATATACTAAAAATATGGCAATATTTTTTAATTGGTGCCCAGAAATAAAGTAATATGACTACACGATAGGATCTATTGATTAGAGACATGCTTTAACCATTAGTCGTATTTTAATTCTATAAACTCATGAAATAACCTTAATTGTTTAATTTTCTGAAGGATGTTTGTTGAGTCATGCAAGCGTCTGCGAATAATGAAAGGATCAGAAGCGATTGGGCTCGGTATGCATCATTATTAAACATGCCTTTTCTTTTCATTCATTAATTCGATTACTCATGGAAATAATTGTTGTGAAACGCAATCACTTGTCACTATATTTATGTGTCATTTTGTGGCTATTCTAATGGGTTGGCGCGCATCTTTTAATGTACTTTCAGCGCCAAGAGCAATGGAAAAATGCAAAAGCAGAAGCTGAAGGTGGCCTAATACATGTTCTGTGAAATCCCGTATCAAAGTGGACCTATAAAAAAGATATATGAAGCACTTCTGCTGAGACTGTGGAGCGGAGTGTCGTTAGTTTGAATGTGTCTGTGTTTTGTTCGTATATAGATTCAACTTTAATTTTAAGGAGCCTATGGGGCATTTGTAATGGACAAGAAGCAATAAACTTAACCTATATACTAGTTTGGCTTGTTTATTTGTGATCCTTCCATGTTGTCATGATTGTTGTGTGCTAAATACCTTGAATTTTAATGCATACTTTATTCCCTCAAAAGATTCTCCCTATATCATTTATTTTATTTTGGTTTTTTAATTAATGTTCATATACTGCAAAATGATCAATGTCTCAGCTGGATGTGGAAGGTATTCAATTTTTATATGGTTCACAAGTGAGCGAGGGGAACAGCCCCATGTGCTTGTTGATGGAGTTTCTTTGATGCCCATTAGTTTTATAGTCCTTGTCATTTAGTTTTGTAAGATCAAATGTGTATTAACTAGGTGGGTGAATGTAGGGTTGGTGAGTGAACATGGTTCGAATATTAATTCCATAATATATATATATATATATATATATATATAGGATCACTAATAACTTTATTATTAAGGTCAATGATATATACATATCTCAATAAATGTACGCCAAGCATAAAAGAATTCTTGGATCGGACGCTGAGACTGCTTCATGTCCAAGCTTTTGAGGAAATATCCATTATTTTAAGGGATTTGTTGTCTATATAAAAGCGATTGAACCTTCAAAATATCTGTTACTGATATATTTTATGTTGGAGTAAGATCTGAACAATTTTGGGGAAGGGTTGGAATGAGCTTAAACAATCAATCTTAAGTAAATGATTTAAATATGTTTTTTATCTTGAACGAATTTTTTATTTTAATCTTTTTAAAAAAAATTTGTATTAATTCCTAACTTTTTATATAAATTTTTATTTTTAGTTCCTAATACTGATCTGATTCGTTAAAATATAATCTTGTGTTAATTTTTTTATTTAACCATATCAACATTAGAGAGTAAAAACAAAAATTTATAAAAAAAATACTAAAAAAACATTTAAAGAATTAAAACAAAAAAAATTGCTTAAATATAAGAACAAAAATATATTTAAGTCAAAATAAATTATTGATTCATTCTTATAAAATGTTACATATATATTTAATTTAGTAAACGTAATTCTAATACCTACTTTTATACATAAATATAAATTTGATATAACTTGTAAAATAAGGATTTTTTTTGTTATACTCTCAATTTTTATTTTTGCATAAAAATATATTTTATTTACTCTCTTAAACATCACATTTAAGTATTTTGAATTTCCTTTTTTTCTCAAATTACTATGATTAAATTTTTAAATTAAACCTTTTCATATTTTAAATTACTCATTTCTCTCTAAACTTAAGCTGCCTATTTCTAATTTTTTAATTAAATTTAACTAATTATATTTATCTTCTATTTCAATATTTTTATTTGTATTTTTAAAATTTTATTTAAATTAGAAAATACTGATAAACTATAGCGGATACTTACTCGTAATTAGTACGTTTATAGTTTTCCTTCGAACTTTCAAACAGGAGTGGGGTTGTCATTTAAATTATGGAATATTGAAAAATAAAAAAAGTCACTGTAAAAATATAAACAAAGATATATTTTACAAAAACTATAGGACTAATGTCTAAAGTTAATTCTATTCATTCATAAATTCTAAAATTTTCACGGGTTTTAAATTAATTCTCCTCAGCAAAAAATAATTTTGAAAATGAAACAAAATACCAAAAAACTTGAATTACTGTTCTACTTCGTTGTTTTGGCCAAAAAACGTCACTTTATACCATATCGAAACTCTTGAGCAGAGTTAATTAATAGTTGTAGTTTGTAAGAATGGAATTAGAGAAAATAAGGGTCCATTGTGAACCCAATAAAGCCCAAATCGTGAAATGGGTAAGCAATCCTTTGGGGTTATTTTATTATAATGCATTCATGCAATTATTTGATTTTTGCCAGTACATATTTTATTATATAATATTATATTTTAAAAAATATCAGTAGCATTAAATATTATTTTTTTCTATACAAATATTTTCCTTTTAATTTCTTAGTGCATGCAGTCACTCTCCTTATTATGTTCACACGTGTTTTTATTTTGTCTATATTCTACTTTTTTTTATTCCTTTTTACTGTCTCGTTTTTATTATATTATTTTGTTTATATTTATTACAGCGTCTGATTTGGATCTCTACAGCCAAACTCTGCAGCCTCTCTCTAGTAAAATTTTAACCATTAATTTATATTTTAAATAGTTAAGATTTATGGAGAAAAAAAGTGAATAGTATTAAAATATTACAGTAAATACATGGGTCAAGTTACAATATTTGAAATAATACACAATTCAATTAATCCTCACCTTTCATTTTTTGTCAATATATCTTACAATAAATATTTAACTTCATCACATGAGAAACTTCTAACCAGAACCATGCTAAATAAAATTGACGGAAAGATACTCTGTATTTATTTATTTATTTATAAATTTTGTAGCCCATGCAATATAATATTTCATTTTAAAATAAATATACATACAATTTAATAATTAAAAAATAAAATTTTATATATTATACATATTTATAGATAATAAAATTATTTTAAATAATTTTGATCTAACTTTATAACTACGAATAATATACATCAACATAATTAATATTTTAAAAAATTAAATAATTTTAAAACATAATTTATTTTAAAATAATATTTTTATTGTATAATATTAAATTTTTAATTAAATTTAAGTAATCAACACATATTAATAATTATAAATTTAAAAGATAAGACTTTTAAAATGAATTTGAAATTTAAAAAATAAAAATAAATTAAGATAATTTTTATAAATATAAAAATAAATATTTAAAAAGTATATAATTTTATACATAATATTAAAAAATTTAAATAAAAACTTTAATTTTGAAAAATACAAATAAAAATCTATTATTACATGAAAGAGTGTAATTTACATGCAATATAAAATCCAAATGTCAGCACATGAGCTTTATCTTTTAGCACAACACGTGAATTTATTGGAGCTTGTGTCCAGAGGATCAGAGCAGTGTTCTTATTTTTTTTGGTCGAGCAGAGCCGTGCCAGTTGTAGGTTTACAAGAAAAAGATATACGTCAGCCAACTATGTAGCAAAAACAGATATCCATGCAGCACCTAGAAGCTAGAACATGTACTTCTTCAGAAGATCAAGATTTTCATATGGATGGTATATCAAAGTTCCATTGAAATAGGAAGAAGATAACCCGATCCAATCTGTGTCCTATATATGTCATGATCATCCTGAGATAATTGAGCATGCCCTCCTCCTATGCCCTTGGACTACCCCAGTTTGGTTTGGATCCCAACTAAACATCATCCCTAATGAAGGTAATGTTGATAGAATCGACAAATGGCTCTTAAACTTATTCATGCAGCCAAATCAAATCCCTCATCATGCAAAACAAGCTATTCCCCTAATATGCTATCTACATTGGTTTATTTGGAAAGGGAGCAATAAGTGCTACTTTCAGTCATCTACTCCTAATCCTATCCAGACAATTGAACATGCTCAATAATTGTTAAAGGAATTTTCTAAGGCTCAAAGACCCACCTCATGGAGACCTCTGCCACTGGACACTATCAAATGCAATATAGACACGAACTTCCTTCAAAGTAGGGGTATAGGAGCAGTAGCTGTTGTGGTGAGACACTCAAAGGGCTCTGTAATCTCTAGACTAGCCCGAAGAATAGCATCTCCATCAGCACTTGTTGCAGAAGCTCTAGCAACGAGAGAGGCCGTTGTACTTGTTCATCCACGATAGTCACCCTGAATATAACCCTTTTGATAATCTCTACCCAGATATGCAACTCACATCACTTAGGGTATCGGTGATAAAGTGTAAAAGCATGTCAAGTTAGATTTGTGTGGATCTACTTTAGAATGCTTGTATGTTAGGTAGTAGCTTGTCCTATTTTGTTTGGTGATCAAGAGGACATGGCATTGCTGCCTTGTTTGGGATATACTGAAAAAGTTGGAGTATAATATCTATAAGTGAAAATCAGGAAAATATTGACTTTAAGAGCTTTATGATCTAAATATACTACTTAGCTAAATAGGCATGGAGAGCCATCAACGATTCAGAATTCCACTTGGTTATAATATTAAATGGGATTTACTTCCCTCAGAAGGTGTTCCTCATACTCTAATTTATTTGGAAAGAGAGGAATCAAGCTGCTATAATTCTATAAGAGTCCACAATCAAATTTTCTTATTCACACAGAAACTCACTAACATGCAACATAACATCTACATACCAACTCTCCCTTTCTTACCCAAAGAAGTTCGGCTTAGAAATCTCCTATTGATGAGTTTATGAGGTGTAATATAGATGCAGGATATCAAATGGAGTTGTCCTCGTATAATAGTGTTAAATAGATCAAGTTAGAACAAGGGGTCGTTGAGCGTTTGCTGTAGCCCCTGAAAATTTGTGCTCATTCCTCATGCTCGGACAAGGGTTAAATTTGTCCAATCTATCTTTATATTTGTTTTTGGCATGCATACCTCCGTTGTACTTTCTATTCACTGTACTATATTATGTGTCATATCTTGGCTTTGATCCTTAGTACACAAAAAAAAAAATAAAAAAAATAAAAACAGCTATATTTTTACACGACCAAAGTAAAAATTAATTAATTTTATTTTTTTGATATTCTTTCTAATTATATTTATAAGAAATAATTATCACTAATTTTCTCTAAAATATAAGAAATAAAAATTGTTTTAAAATTAGCAGATAAATCCACTTACCATCTCATTTTGAAGGATAACTCTCGAAATAAATTAAAAAGAAAGACGTCTGAATAAGAGTGTCATCATCAATGATTAATGAAATCCGTCTATTAAATTTACATAGAATTTAAATTGGGAAGGAGTTAATGATTCTTTTAAAATTAATTAAAATAATGATTAGAGTGAAAATGAATAATACTTAACTCTAATTAAAGTCAACCCAAATAACGTTATCGCTAAGGACAACCTAAATAAGGGTCACAAAATCCGGGACAAATCGCTTCGGGTATTATTATTATTATTATTATTATTATTATTATTATTTTCCCAGCTAAGTAATGATTTGAATTCAACACTTGTCACCGTTGCTAAAAGAAATTAAAAACAAGGACTTGTCCATTTAGGGTGTTAATAGATTTCATTAAAATAATTTTATAAATAAAAATCGTTCGATACTACTGATTTTTTTTAATTTTATTATTTGATTAATTTAGTGATAAACTTGAATATGATATGAATCAATTTAAAGTAATTTAGATTATAATAATTTATTTTTTGTTTTGTTTTAAAAGTTCATATTTATGTTATAAATTTGAATATTTGAGTACTTTCTTAAAAAAAAGTGATTTTAAGAGTTATTATTTTTCTTCACGTATTTTGTTATATTGAGTATCTCATTTTATTTCTTAAATATTATTATTTTGATTTAACTTATATTATTTTAAATTTTAATTTTTAATATATCATAAAAAATTAAAAAAAGATCTATTTTGGTTTCTTAGATAAATTAAGTCTTAAATTATTACATTTTAATTTAATTTTTATATTTAAAATAAAATAATTATTGTTAATAATAAAGATATATATATATATATATATATATTCAATATTAAAAGCAAATAATGAAAATAAGTGACTTTTTTTTATCAACAACAAATATATTTTATTAAAACAAGGTACCAGAGGTACCGAAGAGTTACAAAAAAGGGAAGTAAGAGTACATGTTATAATGTCATAGTCACAATACAATAAGGTTATATAATTGTAAGCCTCCAAGGTAAAAACTTAAAAAAGCTAACCTCACTACACATTATGCACAAGCACGTATTTTGCAGAACTCAAAATTCACAATTCGAGACGAGAAACACGCACTTGCAGCATTAACCACATTATTGATTCAATCCCCCACTCTCTAATATATGCACATCAGATACATAGTAAATCTGATCATAATAAACTCCTACGAGGGTCTCATTCCAATCACCAAAGCTACCCAATTTTAATTTGCCTTTTGCAACTAGCCATTTTCACGAAAACCATTTAACTTGAAACAATAAATTAGCTACCAATTCGCATTTTTGTTTGAAGAGATGCGAGATTCGTTCATTCCATAGTGTCCACATCACAGTGCAAGACATAGTAAACCAACCCAAATTCAAATTTTGCAACAAAAAATATATTGAATTGACAAACACCAATCTACTAAATCATTTGGTACTACTAATACTATTCTCCACCATGACACACACTCCTTCCAATGTAGGAATAAATGAGCATGTACCTCTTCAAAAACTCTGCAAAAATTACAATGTACTTATGAATTAACAATACCACACTGCTGTAGGAAGACGATCTGGAAGACAACACCACATAAAAATAGACACCTTCGTTGACATTGGCAACTTCCACATCGATGCTAATAAGTGATTTTTGTATTGTCCCAGCCTTGTGCACAACACAGAATAAGCTTTAGCAACCGTATAATCGCCATTAGAATGACCTTGCCATCTCCAAGTGTTGGTATGATCCTGCAGAAAAGAAATGTTAGTAAAACCTTCTACCATCTCCACCTTCACCCTCTCATCCCTATCATTCAAAATTCTCTGCCAACTCCACTTCCAACGCCATATACCTGTTTCATCCCACTCCCTCATATCATCAATGAGATCATTTTGTTGTTCAAATACGCGAAATAACCTTGGGTAAACTATCTTCAAAGGCTGCTCGCCCACCCAAGTATCATGCCAAAAACGCGTTTTGGTCCCATTCCCAACATGCATTAGAAAAAAAGAATCCAACCATCTAACATGATTGTCACCAACCCTTTGAGGTTCCAAATTATTACCCCCCCCCCCCCCACCATTCTGATATATGACCCTCCACTCTCCAATTACTAACTTGATTACAACGATACTTCGCGGATAAGACATCATACCATAATTTCCCTTCTTCATGTAATAATCGCCACCTCCATTTCCCTAACAATGCCTTATTCATTAATCCCAAATTCTTAAAACCTAAACCTCCCACCTCTTTGTGTTGACACGTTTTTTCTCATGCCACCCATGCCACTTTCCTTTTAGAAGGATATGATCCCTAAAGAAAATCCCTTTGGATCCTCTCTACCATGTGAAGGACTTTCTTTAGTGCTTTGTATACTGACATCAAATAAGTGGGGATATTTGCCAATACCGCATTACTTCTATGTTCCCATTTACTTAGTTTACGTTGTAAGTCTTTGATCATAGGCAACCACATAGCAACTTGACGTGCTTTTGCTTCAATGGAAATCCCTAAGTACTTGAATGACACCCTCCCAACCTTACAATTTAGACACTCTGTAATTTCCCCTAACCATTCCTGTGATACATTAACACCCATCAATTGACTATCCATCAATCCCTGAGTGGAAGTGAGACAACATTTCCATAGATTTTGTTTCGGATTTGCCGAAGACTAGGAACAATTATGATGCTATTTGGCTGATTGTTAGTCGGTTGAATAAGGTTGCACACTTTCTCCCGATCAATATGAAGTATAAATTGGAGTAGTTGACAAACTTGTATGTGAGGGAGATAGTCAGGCTGCGTGCCGACTAGTGTGGTGTTCGACAGAGATCTGAGGTTTACCTCAAGATTTTGGGAGAGCCTGCAAAGGGCATTGAGTACTAAGTTGAAACTTAGTTCGATATATCATTCACAGACCGACAGTCAGACGGAGAGGACCATTCAGTCCTTGAAGGATCTATTGAGGACTTGTGTGATTGAGCAGTAAGGGACCTAGGAAGAATGTCTGCTGGTAGAGTTCATATACAACAACTGTTTTCATGCTAGCATTGGGATGATACCATTTGAAGTCTTGTATGGGCGGAAGTATAGAATTCCTCTGTGTTGGTATGAAACTAGAGAGGCAACTCTGTGTGCACCGGACATGATCCAGAAATAGAATGAGTAAATCAAGATGATTGGAGAGAAGATGAAGGCTGCACAGGATAGGCAGAAGAGTTACTATGATAAGAGGAGAAAGCTTTTGTAATTCCAGGTAGGTGACCATGTGTTTTTGAAGGTCTCACCTATAACTAGAGTTGAGAGAGTTATGAAATCTCAGAAGCTATCTCCTAAGTTTAGTGAGTCGTTCCAAGTGCTGAGTAGAATAGGTCCTGCAGCGTACCAGATAACATTACCTTTGAATCTCTCAAATCTACATCCATTGTTTCATGTATCTCAACTCAAGAAGTATGTGCCAGATCCTTCTCATGTGATTGACTTTGACCTAGTTCAAGTGATGGAGGGCTTGTCCTACGATGTATATCCGGTGAGAATTGCAAACCACCGTGTTAAGCAATGAGGGGCAAGGAAATCTCGTTGGTGAAGGTGATTTGGAGCTCAAGTAATAAGGGAGATGTCACATGGAAAACGGAGAGTAAAATGAGAGAGATATTCGGAGTTGTTTGTGTAAATTGTATGTTTGGTTGAATTTCGGGGACAAAATTATGTAAAGGAGGAGAGAGTTGTAACGCCTCGAGTTTTATAAATTGTTGATTATTAATATAAATACATGAGTTATTGTTTGAATGTGTATTTGATGTATGTGATGATATGAATATATGTAAATATGATTGCAGAGATAGCAATAAAATGTGGTTGAAATGTGGTGTAGACTTGTGATTAGGCTAAAATTGTTTGATATATAGGCTAAGTGTGTAATGCAGAGTGTTATCGCTGCAGCGAGGGGATTTTTGCTGTAGCGAGAGGGCCTTGGGCGAGTTAGGTTATTCTGTTATTTTCTCGCTACAGCGAGAAGCTCCTCACTGTAACGAGAAGACAACAGTGAGGAGTGCATTTTTAAGTGCAGTCTCGTTGTAGCGAGAGAGTCTCGCTAATAGAACAATCATGAAATAAAATAATAAATATTTATGAAATTCAACTAACTAACTGTAAAAACAACGAACAACAAATTGAAATAAAATAAGAGCTTATTTGGTGGATAAATAAGATGATAGAATAAGATTTGATAATTTATCCTATTTAACAGAATATGATAACTTATTCTATCCTATTATATTATAATATAAATTCTTATAATGGAGAGGGTGATAGATTAGGAAATATTTGGATAAAATAATTTTTTTTATTATGCTTGTATTTATAAGTTTTTAAAAATTTTTAAAGAAAATTATATATTTAAAAAATTATAAAAAATATTTTAATCATTTTATAAAATATATTTTAATTTTTAATAATTTTTTCTCTAATAATCATTTCTTACTTTTGGAAATAATTTTTTATTTTAAAAAAGTAAACAAAATTATAATAATTTAATATCAAATTTTAATATTATATATACGGGACGCAATGGATTGATAAGGAAATAGATTAGAATCGAATATGAAAGCGAAAAGATTAGTGAAAGGTGAGAGTGAACTAAGCAGTTGCAAAAATAAAGGACTAAACGAAGCCAAAGACGTAATTGCATGGAAAACAAACACTTCAGCCAAAACCAACAACAAGGATCCGCCGTACCATATGTCAGGTGGGGCCACCAAACCATTGGATCATCTACTGATCTTTTTCTGTTTTCCCATTTTACCCCATCTTCTTGACGTGGCATCATTTCATTGGGTCATTCTGTGGGCCCTCACCTTAACAAACCTGAGCCGCCCCGCACTCCCCAAACCCTCAACAAACTGTGACGTTCCTATTTTAAAGTGCTAAGTACCTTCGACTTCACCCTCTTCTCTTGCCATTGCCTGTTAGCCTCCAATTCTCATTATCTGCCAAAACCTCACGAAATTCACATTGAAAAAGCGACGCGTAAACTAAATCATATCCGGAAACGTAGCTTTGTTTGTTTTCCGGGAAAGGGCGGGGGAAATAAAGAGAAGAAAAGTTCCTTTTTATGGTTTTGTTGTTTGTTTATTCTGAGAATCTGATTCCTCAGCGCTGGGTTGGTAAAAAAAAATATTTTTTGAGGCGGGACTCGGATACCCAATTGGCGTTTGATGAAATGGGCAAAGGTGGGTTGAGGTGGTTTTGAGTGGTGGTGAATTGAATCGCGTTTGGAGCGGAATTGTGTTTAGAATTGAGGTTGGGGCATGTGATTGGAATTGTGCGATAGGGTAAGGGATGGCTCGGGATGGGAGCGTTGTGCCTGCGGACCCACAGGCAATGACGGTTGTGAAGAAGAAGACACAGCCTTCAAGGAGTTGGATTTTGTTTGATGAGACAGGGCAAGGTTCATTGCTGGATGTGGACAAGTATGCTATCATGCATAGGGTTCAGATTCACGCTCGTGATCTCAGAATCCTTGATCCCTTGCTCTCTTACCCCTCTACTATTCTCGGTCGTGAGAAGGCCATTGTTCTTAACTTGGAGGTGAGTCATTCTATATTTTCTATTTTTTCACATTTTTGTTTCTATTTTTCTTTTTTAATTTTTTTTTTATTCTGAGTTTCAGCATATCAAGGCAATTATCACAGCAGAAGAGGTTAGTGAGCTTTTCTCTGTATGCATTAATTTGTTAGATGTTACAGACGGTGAATGAAGTTTTGATCCTTAAATACATAAGTTGTCTGCCTCTCTGAATGAGCGGGATTGGAAAAATTATTGCATCTTATTTCTTGAAAAGAACATTATGAAATTAATACGAGGAACAAGCTTTCAGTTTTTTATTTTAGGCTGCTCATAATTGAAACACTTAGACTGATTGAGGAATGAGTATTAGAGGAATGGTAGGTGGGGCATAATCTTATCTTATGCATTTAATGGCATGACTAATTGGAGGAAAGGTTGAATTTTGGTTACAAAATTTTGCTATTGAAGGAAACGACTATACTGACAATAAACTACTTGTTTCTAGAGATTGTGATGGCTTTGATTCCACATTCTGATTATAAATAATTTGTGCTATAGGTACTGCTACGGGATCCGACAGATGAAAATGTGGTCCCTGTTGTTGAGGAATTGCAAAGGCGATTGCCTCATGTGAGTGCCACTCATCAACAGCAAGGAGATGGTAAAGAGTATCTTGGCGGCCAAAATGATACTGAAGCAGCTGATGAAGATGGTATGTTAGATTAAAATGACCCATGAGTTAAAAGGAAGCTTATTGACTGCATTTGTTCCTCTTAAAATATCACTTTGTATTTGCTTCGTCTCTTGTCCTTGTTGCTGAATTAATTAGAATTGAAACATTTTCCCCCTTATATCTGAGGGATCTCTATATTATGAAATGTAGAGTCGCCCTTTGAATTCCGGGCCCTGGAGGTAGCGTTAGAAGCCATTTGTAGTTTCCTCGCTGCACGTACAACAGAATTGGAGATGGCTGCTTATCCTGCATTAGATGAACTTACCTCCAAGGTACATATGTAATTGAAGTCTTTCTCTTCTTGTTTCTTCTCTCTTGTTTTCGGTTTTAATCAGAGACCCCCTGGCCTATACCCTTTCCTCAGATATAGAATAAGCTAATAAATAAGAAACTTCTTGAAAGTGGGTGAGGGGAATTTTCTTCCTTCATCTCAAATATAATATCCTTTTGATTTCTTGTACTTATCATTGAGGTGTTCATTCTGATTATGGTTGCCTTCTTTAAGAAGGTTTCTGTTTGTTGGCTTGAAACATGGGTGCTCTATTTCTATGTTTGAATTGTCTTGAGGAAGCTGCTCCCTTTTTTCGTTCATTCGTGACTTTTTTTTGGTTCAGTTATGAGCTTTAGAATATTGTAATCTGCAGATTAGTAGTCGTAATTTGGACAGAGTTCGTAAACTGAAGAGTGCAATGACAAGGCTGACTGCTAGGGTTCAAAAGGTATGGCAAATTTTTCCATGCTAGTGAAAATTTTGTGTAAGGAAAAAGCCTATTTTCTGTTATGTGAACATGTCCTGCACCCTCTGCCTCTCAATGCTGTTGATATTTTGCACATTTTTAAACTGAGAAGGGTTATCCATTTATGGTGATGCATGAATGCATGAGAAATTCATTTTAAAAAAAATGTCATCATAAAGTTTGCTGGAGTTTGATAATTTGGATGGTGTGCTTTCAAGATCAGAAGATTCAATTTCAACTACCTTATATTGGATTACTATCATGGATAATCTATAATATATGTTTCTCCATTCTTGAGACCGGTGATTGCTTATATATACTAGGTGGTTTTGCCTTAATGGGAACTTAAGGAACTTTTAGGATCTCCATGCTGAAATTATATAACCCTAAGTGACTAAATTTCCTTGATCAATTTTAAGTTGAAAACAAATTGTATTCCTTTTTCCACTCCCATCACCAGTTCTTGTTATTTGGTACAGGTCAGAGACGAGCTTGAACAATTGCTGGATGATGATGATGATATGGCTGACCTATATCTGTCAAGAAAGTTGGCTTCATCATCACCAGTTAGTGGATCAGGTCCTGCAAATTGGTTTGCTGCCTCGCCCACTATAGGATCAAAGATATCTAGAGCAAGCAGAGCAAGTATAGCAACAGTTCGTTTAGAAGAAAATGATGTGGAAGAGCTTGAAATGTTACTTGAGGTTATAATATTGTTTGCTTTTAAAAATTGTAGGAAAGGAATGAATCTTCCATTTTCTGTTTAATGTGAAAAAAGACTGCTATAAATAATGTTTGTGAATTTTGCAGGCTTATTTCAGTGAAATTGATCACACATTGAACAAATTAACCACGGTAAGTGTCATATCTGTGTGTACATGTGCAATAGGAAGCTGTAAATCTTAATTATAGTATATGGGAGATACATTTATATGAAGTATTTTGGAAGATTGTTTGGCTGTAAACATGGAGAAAAGATATGTTTTGTTTCACTTCTTAATTTAGAGCCTATGATCTGTTATCTAATTTAATTACTAGACAGTGAACTGAGTGCCTGGCCTTTTTGGTAAAAACTTTTAGTTTCACACTAGTAAGCATTTTAAAGATTGACCAAATTAATTCTCCGATTTTACACACTGTTCACTGCATTAATATTGCAAAATTGATGGTGAACAAAGGGGATATGCATTTTTCTCTCTCTTCCTTCTTCCCGTTTAAACATTAAATTTGAACTTCAAGTTGATATTCAAAATATTGTTTTGAAAGCTTTTTTGCACAATTATTTTGAAAATTTATCCTCATTAGTTGTGAGAATTTTGGTGAGATGATATACCCTTTCTTGGATTCCTTCTAGTCTGAGATTGAGTGATTTATGCTATTAATCCTTTTGGATCAGATAACCATATTTGGATATTTTTCTGTATCCCTTTGCCCCCTTTGCCCCTGTAATTGAATATTACCGTGATAATCATGTTGTAATGGTGATTCTATGACTAAGTCTTGCTTTCAAGATTCCTGATTTTATTTGCAATGAGATGTGTTGGATACTCTACCTAATAGATTAGGATATTTTAGAAAGAGTTTGTTAACTAGGGTACTCTTTTGATGTTTGCTTAGCCTCTTTAAAAGTCTGTGTTATGAACTTGAATAGGTTTGCTTGAACACTGAATTTTTTAATAGATAGTTTTAGCTCAGCAACCAGTTACCATATAATGTATGAGTCAGGATTGTCAAACACGAGGTGTTATATAATTGTTGATTTGAAGGTTCTTATCAAATAGATCAACTTTATATAATTTCACACAAAAACAAAATGATTAGGTACTTCATCAAATTATTTTATTTTTACGTTTGATATTTTTTTAAAATATAAGTAAATATTAAATTTTGGATTACATACTTACAAATATCCAGATTATATAAAATTTAGTATACATGATTATAAAGATAATATAAAATGATTCAACTATTAGATTGATAAATTTTACATTCTATGAAAAGTTATTAACTGGTGTAAGTGTCTTTAATTTGACATTTGGTGTTAATGAATCCTGACTTATTATATGTTATACACACGAACATACTCTAATTACTTTCTTTTCTTTTCATTTAAGCTACGAGAGTACATTGATGATACTGAAGATTATATCAATATTCAAGTAAGTAGCTAGCAATTTACTGGTAATAAATGTTAGCATCTAGTGAATGGCACATAATACAAGTGATTTTTTTTCCATTCTGCAGCTTGACAACCATCGTAATCAGCTGATTCAGGTGCCTTTTATGTTTCTGCACTGTGCAATCTATCAATATTCTGTAATGTTTTATACTTTATTTTTATAACTAGCTAAACTGTCTTCAATTTTTATGCAGTTAGAGCTCTTTCTTAGCTCTGGAACTGTTTGTCTATCTTTCTACTCCCTGGTGGCTGCTATATTTGGCATGAATATCCCATATACTTGGAATGAGAACCATGGTTACATGTTCAAATGGGTACACCAAACTATTACTATTTATGCAAACACGTGTGCATATTAATATTTAGCTGCAGAATTTTGTACTATATGTTCTGAATAAAGATGTTTCTTGCAGGTAGTTATTGTCTCGGGGGTATTTTCTGCTGTGATGTTTCTCATGATCACATTCTATGCTCGCAAAAAGGGATTAGTTGGATCATGAAAATCAACCTGCTGAGAAAAAGGGGTGCCGAGAATCAATTATTGGACTCGTACAAATAATAATTACGTTGCTAAGCTTTATAGGTGATTCAAGATGTTGAGTTATTGGGTATATGCTTTAGTAACAACTGCTATAAGGATCAAGTCCCTAAGTTGATTATATATTGATTGAGCGGGTGTTAGCCTTGCGGATCTGCTACTTCCAAATACTCAACTGTTTTGTTCTCTGGAATCAAGCATTGGACACAAGTTGTAAATACAGTCTCCAGATTCAAAGTTGATTCTTGATTTCAAATAATTTTTAAGACCCTGATATGTAATTAAATTAAGTTGATTATGTTAACCTTTACTCTCTTTTTCTTTCAATCTAAGTCTAATTTGCTTCTGTTCCCTCCTAGATAAAGATTGATCGAGTAGTTCATTCAATAGATGCCGTTTAGTTTACATTTCCTTTGTGTTTCCAGTTTCTGTAACTTCGAATACACGCCCCTAGATGAGTCATTGCAAATCGTGTTCAGACTGAGAATAGTTTGAAATTATGTTGAACTACTGGCTTTTGCTTGTTCATTTTTTAAATCTAATGCTTAGTGGATTCAAATGTCTTGGTTCAACACAGAAAGCATGTTAGTGCAAATAATAAATTTAAAAATCTTTTTAACTTTATAGACATGTTAGGAAAAATAAGATGTTTAACTTATTTTAATAAGTTTCATTAAATTTATGGCATAATATATCATTTAAAAGAGTTTATTAAATAAATGCTTTAATGAACTTTGTATCAAAAGTATTTTATACACACAATTTAATGTTTTTTTAAGTATTAGTTTTAGCATTTAAAGTTGAGTTTATGCATTAAAAATAAATATATTAATTATATTAAAATTATGAAAACATAATACATATTTCTGTTTTCATAATTTTAAATACATATTTATCTATATTTTTTATTTCTTTTAAATCTTATATGTTTATTTGAATTTGAATTTTAATTAATTTTAAATTTTAAATTTTGATACATCGTGTCAAATGAAATATACATTTCTTTGTAGGTAAAATATTATAATATTACTGACCAAAAAAATTATTATAATCTTAACTGATCTTTATTTGAATTTGAAATTTAAATTTAAAACACCATAAAAAATTATATGTCTTGATTTTGATAATTTATTAAATGTTCTCTTCAATTAATTCTCACTTCTTTAATTTATTTCTATTTATTATAATAAAATAGTTACTTTTTTTTAACTTAGGTGTTTATTTATAAATTTTAGGAAGTTAATTTGCACATTTAAGACATGTACTTGTATACATTACTTTAATCTATCTATATAAAATTTTATATTTTAATTTTTACACATAATATATTAATTTTATTTAAATCCCTAAATAAAAAAATGATCGTTTCGGCTTTACGGTTTATCCTGTGTTTGGACCTTGGAAAGTGACATTCTTATCCTCGTTAAGTGTGCATATATGCATTTAGTGAATGTTGAATGTCTAATGGCCAATTTAATGAGTCTTGTAACGGCTACTAAAAGGTTCATGCGTGACATGCAGAGCAACAACGTGTAAACTATTTGTCAGAATCGTTAAGATAATAATAATATATATTTTTCAAACATAGAAAGCAAAACTACTCCCCATTCTTCATTTCTAAATCACAACTGCAGATTATCTAAATTTTATTGGAAGAAGAAGAATATACTTAATCAACCACCATCTCTTCTCTTCTCTTCAGGTATTTCTATCTCTATTTTCCCTTTTCTTCTTTAATTAACTTAGATCTCACCCTAAATTTAGAGATTTTCCCATCGGATTTCTATCTCCGATCAAATATTAAAATAATTTTAATCCTACATCTATATATAATTTAGTATTTTTATTTTAAATTCTTTTTTAATTATATTTAAAACAAAATTTAATAATCATACTCTTATTTATCGATTTTCAAATAGACGCGTCGAAGCAAAACTTGAAGATAAAGATTAAAAAAATTTAAAATACAGAGACAAACAAACGAGAGAGTACTTTGTATTTCTACCCTGTGTCGGTGGCATATCTACTTAGAATGTTAATTTAGGTGATGATCAACAAATCTTGACTCATAGCTAAAACTTTTAGATTTGTTGATATTTATACATTTCAGCAACTTTTTATATAATGTAGTATTAATAAATTTAATTCATGAATTCTTTTATATTATCTTTATGATTATATACATTAAAATTTACACAATTTAGACATTATAGATATGTTGTCCAAAATTTGTTAGTTATTTATATTTTAAAAAAATGATTTATTTTTAAATTAATAGTTAAATTGATCAATTTCACATTTTCTAAAAAATTATTAAATTATATAAGTGTTTAAATTTAACATAAGAAACAAAAATACTTGAATTTTTCCGTCATATTCACTCTCTTGTGTTGAGTTATTTGAACCTATTCTAATTTCTTTATTTATTTAGACAATTTATTTGCATATTATCCTTTTGAAATCTTCATTGCTAAACTAAAGCATTTTTTAAAGTTTCTTTAATCCTCACTTATCAACATGATTTCGTCAACATTGAACAATTAATTTGATCTTAGTTTTCTTTCTTGATGCACCTCTTCTTTCGTATTATATTGCATGATAGGATAGGAGTTTTCTTGTTCTTTTTTCCCTAGCACGTTGATTTGTAGTTCTGCGTTTATTCCATATTATTTGTAGAAAATAATTATTTCATCAATTTATATTGAAATTGATATCTTATTAAATTTTTAAAATTATTATTTAAAATAGGCAAATATTTTCAAGACATTTAAGTAAACTTTTAAAAATTATTGTTTTTGATATTTTCGACTCATAGGTTGGTCCAGCGAAACACAACATAAGTCAGATCAAAATATTTATTCTCTTCGAATTTATAATGTCTGCTGCTCAGCTCATAGCATTAGAAACTATTATAAGAAAACAAAAAATATGAAGATAACACTTGACACTTAAGCATAAGAGAATGGAAATCTAGAATGTTAGAGATTGTTTGATTTTTAAAATTTATTTTTTAATTTTAATTACTATTTTATCATATTATTTATTTATTTTTTCTAATTTCAAACTCTGTATCGCTTTCAGCATTTTTATAAATCTTAGTAAACAAGAAAAAGAAAAAAGAAAATGACAGTTTTATAATTAAAAATAAAAATAAAAATCATATTTTTTTAAAATTAGATATCGTTAGGTTCATATTATTAATGGAATCAAAATATACTATTTTTAAAATTTATCATCTATTTTCTTTTAAAAATACACTAAATACCTAGTTACATATAATTTGAGTTTTTGCTTTTAAACAATAATATTTTTAAGAATTGTTTTTATCCTCATTAATCCATATAACTTTTTCTATATTGAGCATATATAATTCTATTTTTATATAGAATTTTAGGTCCTCTTTAATGTTAACACTTAAAATTTAATTTCAATTTCAATGTGAGTTAAAATTTAAAACCTTAATATATTATATTAAATTAAAAATTATAGTAATTCTGTCACATAATTGCTTCCAGTGCAAAAGATACTTGTAGTATAGATAACAAAATTAAAAAAAAAAACTAAAATTTAAGATTATTGTAATCTTACTTAATTTTAATTTTTGTCAAATAATTCATTTTGATTCATTTTTATCTGAAAAATGATATCAAATAACAAAATTCGTATGTTATATGGGTTGTCGTTTTAACATGTCTCTCAAAAGTTACCAAAAATTGGGTCTCACAGGCCTGTTTTGTGTGCGATCATCACGCTACACGTTATATGTCACAAGGCCGTGATATATATATATATATATATATACCTCAAACATGATTAATTTTATACCAAAAGTGCATTTACGATAGCTAAGAACAAAAAGAAAGAAAAAAGAGTGCATAAACAAAATATATTAATAAGTGTATTAAGAATACAAAAAGATTATCGTAGGGATTACCCTCCTAATCCTATTTGTTCTGTTTTATTTATACCCTTCAAATAACACATGCCGTTTCTTCTTTCGCTGTAACATCTCGTTCCTTCGAACACACACTCTCTCTCTCACACACACAATCATAGATAGATTTATAGATAGGTTCATTCTTGGTTACATTTTATGTTTTTTAGACTCCAATAGAAAAATCCAAAACAGCACAACCATAGTACAAATCGAACAAGACATGCATATGCATTCGATACTCCAAGAATCCCACTTTTTCGTTTTCCTCGACCGCTATCCTTGATCAGGAATCGACTCATCATAGGATCATACACATCCTTGAAACCCTTTGTTTTTCTCTGGCAGTGGAGCGATTTTCATCGTGATTCCCGCGGGTTTCTCGTTGAGAATGATGTAAAACCGCATGTTTTTATTCCATGCTCCTTTGTTTGGTGACATGCACCATGCGAGATACGTGAGTGTGGAGGTGCTTGTGTTTTTTGTTGTGTTCATTTGTTTATGTGTGTGTCCTTGTCAGAGACCGATATAAAGACAATAACAATGACAAGCCTAACGGTGAAGGTCAATACGGCTAGCCTCTCCTCATGCTTGACATGTCTTTTATGTAATAAGTGGTTCACAAACGCCACAACTATTTCAGAATGCTTGCATACTTGTAAGTGCTTCCTTTCTCATCCACCTTTTCTTTTCTGTTTCTCTTCCTTCTATTCTGTTATCTTCTTTTCAATATTTTTCTTCCTCAGAAACCTTGGTTGTTGAAGTTCATGGTATGTGCCATCTTTATCTTTTGCTTCTCTTTTTTTTACCTTTTATGTTTTTGGAAACCATAATGCTTTATACTCTGTTTTTTGGGCTTGCTTATCTAGTGGATTTATTGGAAGTCTTCGTTAATCATATATTGATTTAGCTTCCATGCAGATAAGATATTAACTGTTAAATTTTGATATTTAGTATTTACACATAATGTGGAAACTGCCAAGTATTTTGTGGCATTCTGTGTACTTTAAAAGCAAAATGTGATACTGTTTGCAATCTGCATGATTTTGAGTTGTTTGTTTCAATTGAAATGCAGATATCTTTTCATGAGGATTGTTCCAAGCAGCATGATTTTATAAAAAGAAATCAGTTAAATTTTATAGGCTTAACTGAAATGTAACAGGTTTTGGTTTTTACCTTAGACTTGGTTTTAAACAATAAGGAACAAGATATACTTGCTGTACAATCAGAAAATATCTCTCCAAGTTTCAGTAAATTCATGATTTTATACTGATAGTTGATGAAATATTTTTTTACTCCTTTGATAACCTTATATTATAGGGTCTTGGTATCAAACACGAGTGTCTGCTTGGTAAAAGTAGAATGAACATGGGGAGGTAGGAAATGAGAGATGTGTCTGCAGAGTTATACCCAAATTACTTGTTGATTTTCTTCTGTTTTCATTCTTGCATTATTGGAGCTTGCGCTTATGCTTAGTCATGTTAATTGCCGTGACTAATACTTGTGTATGATTGTGCTAGAAACTAGGCCTCAATCTCCATCATTCTCATACTTTTTTATTTTATTTTTAATGTAATGAATTTGATTCATTGTTTTTCATTTTCGTCATCCTTTCTGTTTCTCAATCTCTGTATACAAGCCTAAATCTTCGAGTTCAACAACAGTTTGCAGGGAATGTATAAATAAGAAGTTAATAGATGAGAAATTAGAGCACTGTCCAATATGCAATGCAGACTTGGGTTGTTCTCCACTCGATAAATTAAGGTAGTCACCAGAAACATGGCAGATTAGTCTTTACTCGCTGCTTCAGTAATTGGTCTCATCATTTAAATATACCATGCTGATTCATATCATCATATGAGTATCTTGACAGTACAATTTTATTTTATTTTTTGGTCAAAACACTTGGTTTTCAGCCTAGAACTATGCAAACAAATATGATTGTTTGTAACAACTCATGCACCATGTGGGAGAATTCATCAGTCCAATTCTTCAATTTTCCTTTTTCTTAAGATTTTGTGATGATTCAACTCATTTCATTTATTACTTTTCCTCCCCAATTGTGTAGCTTTTCTGAATTTTATCTGACTCCTATATTGTTTTGAAAATGAACAGAACAGATCGCAGTTTGCAAGATTTGAGGGAGAAAATCTTCCCATATGAAGTGCAAAATGCTAAGCCACCATCCAATGTTCGTTCAGTTACATCGCTAACCAAAAGAAAAAAGAAATCTCTATCTTCATTAAAAGTCAATGCAAGAATAGCCAAAACTGCTGCAAGAAGAGTTTTCATTCCAGAAGATTCAGATTTTTCACCTCCTAAACCTGACAAAGTGGAAGATGTTAAGAAAGATGAAGACAACTGTGGGGTAAAAGTTCTGAAAGAAGTTTCTTCAATTCTATCTGCAAGAAAAGCAAAAGCTGCAGCTAGAATCAAATTTATTCGAACTGAACTACCTCCTACTTGTCAACTTGAGAAGGTAACAGGAGAAGAAAACAAAGACGATGATCACCCTCAGCTTGAAACTGCCAACAAAACTTCCAGAGATAGAGTTCAGGTAGATAAAGCTCTTGTTCTTTATTTTTTCCGTGTTTCTGCTTTCAGGATCCTAGTGGTTTTTTAATGATTTTGTCCTTTCATTATTATCTGAAAGATCTTTACGTATGTGATTTAGTTAGTGCATGGCTATTTCCTGAGTATTTACTATGATTAGCAGAATTCTTCAAAACCAGATTCAAGTCAACAAATATTGCCCAAGAAGATTTTAGGGAGAAGTGTTGAGTTATGGAAAGAAAAGGCTGATATGTCTGAGCCATTAAGTTGCCTGATGGAAGCTGCAAGCAAAAGCAAGTCTCGTAATAAATACACCATGCAAGAAAATGGTGCCATACCAGTGTTGGTGGACGCTAATGACAATGACTCTCAAGTGCCTAAGGTCAAAGTCAACAAACATTGTCATATGAAAAAGGCCGCTGGTGAACAAAATGAGTCGACTCCTTCAGAATCAAATCAAGTCAAACTTCAAAAGCTGCAAAATACCCAAGAAAAAAGACCCAAATTCTCTCAGGACTTGAATTTTCCAGCACAACCTGTGATTGGTTCAAACACTAAAAGCAACATAGGATTTGGTCCAGTCTGGTTCTCCTTGGTTGCTTCAGAAGAAAAGTAGGATTAAATTTCATGGCTTATTTAATATTATATTAAATGTTGAGTATCTGACTTTTGAATTTCTGGATACAGGGAAGCATGGGCAAGATTGCCACAAATAACTTCCTGCTACATAAGGGTCATGTGAGCTTTATATTCCCATTTTTTGTTTTCTGATGATTTTAGTTCATTCCTTTCTTTTTCAGTTCTTGAATGAACATGGCATGCATGAAATAATTGTTTATCCGACTGATTTTTGAGTTACAAGCTGTCTCAGTATATTCACTTTTATATACTCTAAACTATACTTTCATTGCCCTCCTCAGGCTTTCTTGGTCTATATTAGTACTTCTTCTAAGTATGTGTCATATGATATCATTCTTATACTTAAAGAGATATGTGTCATAAGATTTTGTACCCTTTCTGAGATACGCTTACGAATTTTGTTCCTCGCTGAGGTTCCATCTTTAATCTTTCCTTTACCTTTAAAGCGTGCATCGTGACTTCATATTTCTGAATTTTTAATAATTGGAAAGGTTTTCTTCCGGTGCCCCATTAAAATAAAATGACTATGGCTTTTTGGTTTACGAATTTTCCAAAAAGAATATTAGAAAAGGGAAAAATCTCTTCTATATGAGCGATTTTAGTGGATAAAGATTCTGTTATTTAAATTAAGGATGAATATGCACTTGTTACGCATTTTAAAGACGAGTTCTATTTACAGGCCTAATATATATATAAGATTACTCAACCGAAATGGTTTTATTTGTCTTTCTTTTCTATAGCAATAGCATAGACTGATATAGCTGATAAGTTCCACTAATCAATGTTCACATTGTTACAGGGATGGTAGTTTACCTGTTTCTTTTATTAAGAGGTACATCGTGAAGAAGCTTGGTCTTGCTAGCGAAGCTGAGGTAATTTGGTTTTTCTCTTTGCTAAGAGGCTAAGACTAATACGTAGCACCCTTATAGTAGAATAAAACAAGATAAAATAAATTTTTTTAAATAAATTAATATTAATTTATACTCTCTTAATTTTTTAATTAACTTTTTAAAACAAACATAAGTTTATTTTAACTTATAAATAGTATTTTACTTATTTTTTCTTTTAATTTTCTTTTCTTATAAATATTTATCCAAACTCGAACTTACCCATTTTTCAGAGCTAATTGGTTTTGTGATGTACTCTGACAGGTGGAGATTTCATTACGAGGTGAGCCAGTCTTATCCTCATTGCAACTGAAAAACTTAGTAGACTTGTGGTTGCAAACAGTGCCAGGCAATGAGATTCAGACATCTGTTGGAAGCTCAGCCAAGGATTTTGTTATGGTTCTTTCATATGGTCGAAAGGCTTGACTTGAGAGTTCATAATCTACCCTGCTATGCTTTCTTAAAGAAATTTTAATAATTTTCTTTCTAACTAAAGCCCCATACATGTTTGATTGAGTTTATGCGTGGCATATACATGAGATTTACAACAGCTTTTATTGATTGAACGAAAAGAATAAATATTTTACTCAGATTTACTTCTTTAATGTTATGAACTATGAACTTTTTATATTACTTTTTTATTTTCTTTTATGTTTCTGTTTTTTCTTTGGCGATCAAGTAGAAAATATACGTTACAAATCACTGCTTTCATTCAGTAATGTAGCCAATCTGATTTAGCTTTTAGCATCACAAAAGAAATCACATTTTTTTTGTTTTGGCGTGAGTAATAGTTACGATAGAAATATGTTCTGTTTCGCAATAAACCGTCAGTTCATTATTTGTTTATAGAAAATGATTTACTTGCAGCCCTTGAGATATATACACCATGGGAGAGAAGAGAGTTAGGAAATGGAAGAGAGAAATTTAATAAATATAACAACGAATATTATAAAAAAAAAAAAGAGAGAAAAAAGAAGAAAAAGAGGTGTAAAGGAGTTTAAAAAAATAAAGTTATTTATTTATTCATTTTGACAAGTAATTTATTTTGGAGGAGATAAGCATAAGGAAATGAGTTCAATTGCAGACTAACATTATGATTCATTTAATAATATTTAAGTCTATTAATAATTTCATTAATTAGTGATAAGTTTTGAATACTTAATACTTATTTATTTATGTATAAGTGTTAAAGAGAATCAATTCTTTCCGCTCCATTTTTTAAAGTATGTTAGATTTTTTAGTCTAACCCATTTAAAAGTAAGTTGACAAGCCTACAGATTAATGGGTTGACTTGCCTAAAATTAATATCAAAATTAAAAAATTATAAAAAATATTTTTTTATATTAATACTTAATTAATAAATATTATTTCTGTTAAAAAAAAAGCTTAACAAAAGCTAGTACACCCTAACTCGCATTTTAACAAGTTAAAATGGAGTAGATTAAGTGTACTAATAAATATAAAATATTTAATTTAGTTTGTCATTTGACATTCTTACATTTGAGCTTAATCTTTAGATTTATGATAAGTGTTAATAGAAAGTGTGGTTAAGTCTTACAATAACATTCAATTGCTCTCTAACTTTGTCCCATTAAAAACTTAAAATTTGGAGTATGTGATTAAACAAAAGGAATGCTTGACTCCTTATTTCATAATATTCATACTTGCATTGGCCCGTTACAACTCATGATATCTACAAGAAGTAAGTAATTAAATCAATATTCTAAATTTATATAAGATATTTATTAACATAAAAAAAATTTCCTTAACTTTAGACCTAATGAGTTGTACCTATAATACCTTTTAAAAATTTAGATTATCATTTTAATTACTTACTTCTTGTTCTAAACATAATGATTGCCACTAATAATATCTAATATGATGTAAGAATCTTACAAATTATAATTTTTAATGAAACAAATTTAAAGAGCAATTGAGTGATATTGTATCGGCCGCACTCTAACTACATTATTTATTAACATTGTCTACCTCTTATCATGGAGGTCCACACTATCTCTAACATGGTCAAAGTTCATTAGCAATTGATTGCATTATTACTAAGTTTGAAGATCATCAAATAAATTTGAATATTAACCCGTTTTGCAAAACAACAAAAAATTTACAATATATGAAAAAAATTTAAAATTAGAAACATGCAAATTTATTTATAAATTGTAAATCAAGGGACAAAATTCACGAGTTAAAATTTCTTCAAAGTCTCTTTGCTAGTTTGAGATTATGTTGTTACAACTCGAATTGCTGTTATATCAATTACATTGTATAAGTTTTAGGTTAATCTTTCAGGCAAAGACAAAATAAAGTTAGGAAAAAAGAAATAAAGAAATGATTCGCTCTATTAACTAACCAGAGTAGGCTGAGGATAGTTCAGTGTTAACTTGAACTCTGCTAGCTGTGTGTATTTGGAAGAATGAAGAATTCTTTTTGTTCAGCCAACGGAGGAGATAATGCGTTATTTTTACCGGAAGAACAATACACGCTGGAAAATTGTGTTGCCCTTTTTCACAATACCCAACATAGTTTAGCCACACATCTAAGGTTATACTTTGTTGCTCCTTCATGGATGACTAACCCAAACTGGTGATATTTCAAGTAACCTAAAGCTTGTTGGCAAGGGAAAAGAGAGTTTAAGATAACTACAGAGCGAAACGAAATGTAATATTTTCACAAATGCAACTATATCTTTGAAGTTTCATAAATGACTTTGCGTTCATTCAACTTGTCAAATATTTTTTTTCACAACACATTAAAAGTGCCAAAGAGTGATGAAATTAAAACGACATTTGGGACTACAATTAAAATTCTCAAAAAGGGATTTGAAAAGGTATAAAAATCCTATGACCAAAATTGTTATCTTTTTAACTTCCTATTTAACCACTGAAGACCATAGTTCAGGCACCAGAGCCGTCCAGAGTAGTACGCCGGTCTATCGATTAGCGTCTCATTTATTTCGGATAACCATTGTAAACATTATTTTCATTCAGTCTGTTGTTTAGAGAGACAGAACAAAATAAGGTTTATCTTCAATTCCAAACATGGAACTATTTGTTGAATGATCGCATTGACTGATTGCAAAATTTGCAGAGTCAAAGATAAACTGGTGACACTGTTTAAAGGCCAATACATAGAGACAACTTGCATGCAAAATATCAAAGAAATCAAGCGCCGGACTAATTCAAATAAGACTATATGGCTGCCGAAGATCAGAAAGAAAAATTGGACGAACAAACTCTTTTTCTCATGCAAAATACGCAGATCCTGAGATGCATCTTGGAGAATTAGTAGAAATAGGAAAAGTGAAATACTTTATGAAAAGGGAGAAACTCGAAAAAACATTCAATTTAATATCAAGCCTGCCAAGTAGCAATTGGGTGGCAGGGCGTTCACATCAGAATGCACAATATAACTGGCAAGAAATCACGCGTTGAAGAATTCATTTTGTGAACAAGAATTTCACAGGGACAACTCTTGTAAGGACATGGTTATACCAAGAATTAATTATGGTCAAGAAAGAAACAAGTTTCCGATGTCAATGCAATAACTAACTACAATGATCAGCTCATGCTAAGAAGGGCATAAAACTGTCGGCAAATGGCACACAAGAAAACATATGCGTAGGGGAATATGTATTTCAATCAACAGCTATACCAATTTAAAGCATAGCCCATTTGGAACAAATCTATAAATGCTTTGTGATTATTTGAACAGTTCTCAGTTGAAAGCTATAGTTAGAAACGGTAATATATATTTGTGCAAAGGGAAGAGATGTCTTTGATTATTGTAGGCGATCAACAATCACTAATAACATCCAATTACACAGGACTCAAATTGACTTACATACGAACACGAACCATCACAATCACAATCCACATGAGTTTGGAGCATCATTGTGCTTCACATAAGAAGACATTGTTCATATTCATGATAACACTTTCTCCAGGTCAAATAGAAAATAAATTAGAACATCTCTCCATGTCAATATACCATTCTTAAACCAGTGAAACTTGTCAATTGTAAAACCGATACTAAAAAGCAGCACTCTTAACACAACGAGAGAGACAAACACAAGATCATCCAATAACAACATTCAAAAATCAATTTTGGCTATGTCCTAATGTCGTTGTTGAAGATGAATTCTATTAAATTTTGGCACATACAGCCCTAAAGGTTTGATGTTCAGTATGATATGGATTGAAAAACAGAAGAAACATGGGAATGAGAAAAGCATATATGAATAAAATTGAGTGTCAGTGAAATCTACATGACAGTTAAAGAATGGAAAGAAAAGAAAAGAGGAAAGTCAAACGCGAGTGTAAGCACCGGCAGGGTCAGTGAGCATAGGGCCATAGGGGGATTCCTGATCGTCACCAACAAGATCATCGGTGCTCCTCAACGCGCCGTGCAAGAAAACCACCACAGCCCCAACGGCCAGCGAGACAAAGAGGTTGACCCAGACGCCCGTGGTAAACAGAACAACAGCGGACAGCACAGCGAGTACGAGGACGAGGATGCGGTCGTCGAGAGTGACAAAGTTGAAGAGGGTGAGAGGGTCGCTGTCGCGGGAGAAGTAGAGGAAGTACCAGGCGGCGAAGAGGATGAGGAAGAGAAGGAGGGCGAGGAGGTGGGAGAGGAGACTGAGGAGGAAGAGGAGGAGGAGGAGGAGCGCGTAGTTGAAGAGGAAGTAGGTCAGGTTGTGGGAGAGGCGCGTGGAGACTTCGGAGAGGGAGGATGGGAGAGAGAGGGCGGAGAGGTCAAGGAACTGGCCCCAGGGACGGCGCGTGGAGATCACCGTCTGCCCTGCTTCCTTCAAATTCGAAAGGAATTCGGCGGAGGACGACATTCTCTGTTTCTCCAACGTCAATTCAATCGGTGAATTGGAAGAATGGAGACCAAACCAATTACCATTCCCAGCTCACGCCTTCCTCGTTTGTCTTCGCATCACTCCCCACTCCGTTTCTTCATTTTTTGCTATTGGGCCTTCGAAGGCCCAATCTCCAAAAGATCGAATTGTTCCACACTCTCTCCGACCTGTGTCAGGGCTACTGCCACTCCCAATTGCTCTTTCAAGACTTTTTATTATAATCCATTTACTTTTCTTAATTATTTTTTTTATCATATATGTTAGTATTTTATTTCAACATTCTCTTTAACTTAATATATCAGTTAAAATAACACTTTTAACTAAACTGGTCTTTGAAAAAATTCATTAAAACCAATTTAATCCATGAAAAAATAAATTCAATCAAAGACGGTTTCATTTCAATTTTACAAATATTAAAAAATAAATTTTAAATTACTGTGTGATGGCTTGTAAATTCTTAGGTTCATTCAAATTTTAATGTTTTAGTGTGTTATTTTTATCCAATACTAATAAGAATATTAAGGACATATATTTGGTAGTTAGAATAGAATTAGGATAAATATAATAAGAAGATTGAATAATATTATGACATGATAAGTTTTTATTATATTCAATGTTTGATGCAGACTTAATAGAAAGAAATATATCACATAAAAATATATAAAAAAATTGACAAAATTACTCTTTTGTTTATATTTATCAAAATTAAGATTATTTTTTATATTATTATTTATTTTAATTTATAAAAAATATATAAATAATTATATTTTAAATTTTAAAAATATATAAAAAGAAAGAGAAAAAAGAGAGAGATAATAAAATAAAAAATATTTTTAAAAAAATAATTTTTAATATTTTGTAAAGTAAAAGGACATTTTACATTTTTTCACAAGTAGAACAATTATCACTATTGATTTTATCTTAAATATGTATAGCACAATAATAATTAGTGATTTAGTTAAAAAAAATACAAATATTTTTAAATTTTTAAAATATTAAAAAATTACAGTTATCAATTTTAAAAAAATATATAATATCTATCAAATTAAATTTGCAAGTACATAATAAGCAACTTTTAAAAAAAACAGTTGATATTATTTCTTTCATCTTTCAATCTAATCATTTTTTCAAATAACAATTACACTAATTAAATTAAAAATAGATATAATAGTCATCCTATCCTATTCACCTCTTATGCTTTCACTCCTTAAAATTGTAATTTGAAACCATTGTTATCGAAGGAGGCATCAATTTTGGACCCGCCACATGGCTCATAGACGTGTCGGTTCGGTTCCAAAGTCTAATACAATGTTTTTCTTCTTTGTGTTGTGCGGTCCATGTGGAGAGGATATTGGAGTATCGTTTGTTTGTTTCCTTATGAGTATGTGGATGGTATTGTGCATGCATTCATGGATTTGACATACGTTTGTTTGGAATACATGGGTATGAACATTTACTAGAACAATGAGGTCCCTGAAGGGGTCGATATTGCCAAAAATTAGTTCCTAAACAAAATGGTCCTCACATATACATGTTGAAAATGTGCAACTTTATCAAATTAAACTAATCATTTTCTAAAATTATTATTTGCAAATGGCTAAACATTTTAACTTTATTTACTATCAAGGCCAAATTAGAAAAGACCCTAAGAATGTGAGTCCCTCAGTGGTAAACAGTAAATTCATATTGCTAATTCTACTTTCACAGTTATATTTACACTTTATTTTCAGATGATATAACCATACAGTCCATATTTTGATTATATCACTAGCCTATATTCTCAATAGAAATACAAGGTTTAATTTAATATAAAAAAACAATTTTTTATTTTATTCTTAACACGAATCTAAGTAGTTTAATTCCTGTTTGAAGTTAAATCCATATTATTTGCTTTGTCAATGAATAAAGTAGATGGGTCGATCATGCTTAATATATAATTTATATTAAAACTAATTTAAACTATAAATAACATAAAAAATGCACTTAAGCTCTTATGTCAAGAAGAAAGATTGAGAAGAAAAACATGAATCTCACAGAGAAGATAACCAGAATTATATGTAAAATAATCGACATCAAATCATTGTTTTAATGTTTAAAGACAATAATGGGTAAAATACTCAATAGACACTCATAAAATTTATTCATAATAGGTAGGATATTTATCCATTCCATGAATATGAATAGATATCTGTAAATTTTAATAGGGAGATATCGAAGTACCCACTCCCGCTCCATACCTATATATACATACATATATATATATATATATATATATATATATATATATATATTACTCGTTATATAAGATTAATATAAAAATATATTTACTATTTTATATTGTTTAACTAGGTTAATATAATTTAATTATTACATAGTTAATATGAGATTGACTTTTTTAAAAAAATTATTTAAATATAACACACATATAAAATATTTTTCACACAAATATTTTTGTTGATAAAATCATATTGATATTTAAATCATAAAGTGAATGATAAATAATAAACATATTGTAAATATTTTATAAATTTTACAGTTACCTACTATTACTTATTACCGTATACTTATTATCTATTGATAATATTTAAATTTTATTTTTTATATTTCAATTTAAAATAATATTTTTCTATACAATATATATTACAAGTACAACTATAATCTATTAAATTTAAATAATATTATTCTTACCATTTTATTTACATTCAAAGAAGTTCTTGAAAAGATATAAAATATAAAACAATTTTAATTCTTATTTGTTAATTTTTTCTTTCGATTAAAAAGTAATTTTTTATATACACGTATATTTTTTTATTATAAAATTTTATTGTGATAATAAATTTTTTTATTATAAAATTTTTTATATACATGTGTATATATATATATATATATATTATTTTAATTAAATCTATTATTTTTCTTATAATTTCATATTTAAAAATTAAAAAAATATTTCATGTATCTACTTTTCATTATCGTTTAGTACTTGAACTTTTTAACCTTAATTTTACTTTCATTCTCAATGTCTGCCTCATTAACACCTATTATAACAACTATAAAATTTTATTTATTAGAGCTAGTTGTTAATGTGGCCACAAGATGTCACTAAGTGATCTCACACGAAGAGCCACTCATTGTGCAGATCTATCTCGTTGTCGCTTTGTTGTTGCCATTCGATTGAATCTCACAAGATAAGAACATTGCTGACAAATAACTTGTGTGTTTAGTTTTACTTATTATTTTTAAAAATTTTAGTTTAGAAAATTATTGCATTAAGATATATTTAGCACTCTTGATCTTTTAATATTTATTTTTTTATTTATGTTTGTACTTTATCGGCAACTCCTTATTAAATTTTTGTATTATCATGTTACTCATCTGAAGTTATATAAACATAATTTTTTATAAATATTTTTTCTCTCAATCAAGCGCAGGTAATGGGTACAAGATGAGTATGCGGGTATCCAGATGTACAAATACGAGAATTAATGTTCATATTCACACAAATATAGGGCTGAATATGAGTATATTTTTAAAACACGGATATGAAAATAGATACTATAGTACCCTACCTATACCCTACATTGCCCGAAGAAAATACATGCAAGTTATAAATTAGATAGGAATAGAAAATGAATTAAGATGCAATCGAAAGGTTAAACCAAAACGGACCTTTATCTCCAAAATTAATCTAAAAGGAAAAAATAAAATAAAATAATAATATATATATATATATATATATATATATATATATATACTTCAAATAGTTATTAAAAAAGTTGTATGAAATTACACTTCAAAATAAAAAAATTTAATTTCACTTGTTATTAAAACTACGCAGATAACAATGAGAAAAATTACATATTTTTTATTTAATTTAATTATTTATAAACTAATATTTTGAGTTTTATCATCGCCTAATCCTTAATTTGTTTGGTATGACATATTTAAGTGAAAAGAAAATGATTCTTTATTTCGTATTTAGTTTCAACTCAATGGTAAATAAAATGAAGATATTTAGAACTTTGTTATTATTATTTTTAAAGTAAACACACACACATATATATAATTTTAATTTTTCTTATTTTAATTTTTTAGTTTTTTAATTATTCTTTTATCTCAAAATTTTATACTATTATTAGATTTTGTATACTTATTTATATAAATTAATACAATATCATATTTTATTAATTATTAGATAAAATTTTAAAATAAAAAAGTAAATATGAGTAATTAAAATTGATATAAAAAAATTTTAATTAAGGATTTACGTATAGCAATAAAAATAAATCATTGCATACAGTATTTTTTTTAAAATATAACTGTTAACTTTACCTGTTATTTAATGGTATGCAAATGAAATAGGAAAAATCAATTATACTTTTATTAATTTTTTGCTTATTCATCTTATTTATTTTAATTTTCTTAATTAATTCATTAATGGAATGGTAACAGACGAGTGATATTTTTTTAAGTATATTTCTCTCTTTTTTTCAAAGTCTAAGAAGAAAATTTTGTTACGGTGTCATATATTTCTGCTGTCAGCACAGATTTTACGTTAGCAAAGTCAACGGTTTTATATAACATTCTTTATTTTATTTTATTTATTTTTCACATATATATATAAAATAAAATAAATAATTCCAAAATCATTCTTCCAAAATTAATATTAAATAATTTTTACATTATCTTATAAATTAAGATAATATTTTATGTTTTAATACGTAAAAAATAATAACTATTAATTTTATAATAACTATAATATTATAAAGAAAAGAATGACATGCTGCGGAAGGAAAATAACTTTTGGACCATATTTGACGACGGGAAAATATTTAACACCGTTCGGAATATAAGCGACTATGATCATAATGTTTGTCTTTCTTTCTTTTGCAATCTTACAAAATTTGACTTCCCGAAACAATTTTTAACAGAATTGAAGACTTAAATATATAGTGAAAATAATTTGAGCGAAAATATTTAATTATTGTGAAAAATAATACAAAAAATATGTTATATGTTATTAAACTTTTAAAAATACATATAATTATTTAAATGGTCATATCATTATTAACTAAATTTTAATTTTATCGTTTATATAGAATTGTATAAATTAAAATTATAAAAAATTAATAACACAAAAAATTATAAAAAATATTATATAAATAATATAAGACTGAAAGAACAGTCAATGAGCAAAAAGAATAGCACGCAAAGAATTAAAGGAGTATTGAGGCCATTATCTGCATCAAGCCACGAACTCGGTTGCCATCTTTGAAACCCCTTCTTGATAAGCCAATCAAGAAAATGAGAAGAAAAGTCTAACATGAGAAATCTATATAAGTAGGCCCTTTTCTCCATTATTCACATCACATCACATCACACGTTTCATACTTATCTATTTCGCTCTTTCTCCAATGGTTGCTTCACTTCAACCCCTCATCGTTTTGTCCTTTCTCTCATTGTTCATCTCTTCCTCCGCTGCTCAAACCTCTTTCAGACCAAAGGCACTTGTTCTTGCTGTCACCAAAGATGTTTCTGCCTCTACTCCTCAGTATGTCACCAAAATCAAACAAAGGACCCCACTTGTGCCAGTGAAGCTAACTGTTGATCTTGGTGGTGGTTACTTTTGGGTGAACTGTGAAGAGGGTTATGCCTCATCCACCTCTAAACCATCCCGTTGTGGCTCTGCTCAGTGCTCACTTTTCGGTTTATATGGTTGTAGCGGGGACAAAATTTGTGGTCGCTCACCAAGCAACACTGTAACAGGTGTGTCCACATATGGCGACATTCATGCTGACGTTGTTTCTGTCAACTCCACTGATGGAAACACCCCAGGTAGGGTGGTTTCTGTGCCTAACACTCTCTTCATATGCGGGTCAAAAGTTGTCCAGAACGGCCTGGCTAGTGGTGTCACAGGTATGGCTGGTCTTGGAAGGACTAAAGTTTCACTTCCTTCTCAGTTTGCCTCAGCTTTCAGCTTTCCAAGGAAATTTGCCATTTGCTTGAGTTCTTCCACTATGACAGATGGTGTTATGTTCTTTGGTGATGGCCCTTATAATTTGAACAAGGATGTCTCTAAGGTTCTCACTTTCACCCCTCTCATTACTAACCCAGTTAGCACTGCTCCTAGTGCTTTCTTAGGGGAACCCTCAGTGGAATACTTCATTGGGGTTAAATCTATTAGAATCTCGGACAAAAATGTGCCACTGAATACAACCCTTTTATCTATAGATAGAAATGGTATTGGTGGGACTAAGATTAGTACTGTTAATCCTTACACTATCATGGAGACCACAATTTACAAAGCTGTATCTGAGGCCTTTGTGAAAGCTCTTGGAGCCCCTACAGTTGCACCTGTGGCTCCATTTGGGACTTGCTTTGCAACCAAAGACATTTCCTTCTCAAGAATGGGCCCGGCTGTGCCTACCATTAATCTAGTTTTGCAGAATGAAGAAGTGGTGTGGAACATCATTGGTGCAAATTCAATGGTGCAGTTTAATGATATAAATGTAATTTGCTTGGGTTTTGTGGATGCTGGATCAAGCCCAAGTGCAGCCCAAGTTGGATTTGTGGCTGGTGGTTCACACCCAATGACTTCAATCACAATTGGAGCACATCAATTGGAGAACAATTTGCTACAATTTGATTTAGCAGCCTCAAGGCTTGGATTCCGCTCACTCTTCTTGGAGGTCACCAACTGTGCCAACTTTAACTTTACTTCTTCTGCTAGAATTTGATTATTCTAAGTCCAATCAAAACTTAGTGCACAGGTTTCTGTATTTTAAGATCTATGCATGTCGACCAGGTGGAGAATAAGTGAGGTTGCATTTATGCATAGCCTCCCAAAATTTATTTACCTTTTGTCTACAAAATAAAGAGCACGGTTGTTCGACGGAGCTACTATTGTGGATATATTCATTTTACTTGCATCTTCAATTATTTTTTTGCTTTTAATTATTCTTCAACGTAAGTCATAGAAATAGTGATACCAACACTTATGGAAGAGACAGATATCCAAGAAACCGAAACTGCGTAATAAAAACGTAAAAGAATGAAATATATTCCATTCAAAAGATTGAAAAAGAAAAATATTATCCAACAACATTACCATCTATAAAAAAAAATGTTGTTCTCGCATACTCTAATGTACCAGTTTTATCAGATTTTATTTCAAAATGTGATTGGGGCTATGAACCTAAAATACGTGGATCGATGCTGTAAAGTTTGGATTATAAGAAACAAAACATTATACTTTTTGCTTTGCTCTTTTTCACTTGTATGTATTATTTTGGTCTCACAAATATAATTAAATCCCATATAAGGCCAGACCGGAGTAATACACTAAGTTCAGTCAGGCCCAAAAAATAAAAAACAAAATATTGACTTGATTGACCTTTTTTGCAATTTTTTCGAGCCTCTGCTCTTGAAGAAAGGTCCAGTAAAAAAATGCCTTCATTGTTGATAGTTTTTGTTTATATTGGGGCTAAGTTTTTGTTATAAATCCTAAACCCAAAAAAAGAAGAAAGAAATAAAAAATAAGTAAAATATATATGCTGTTCTCTAATGTACCAGTTTTATCAGATTTTATTTCAAAATGGGATTTGGGCTATGAAGCTAACGTGGATCGATGCTGTAAGCTTTGAATTATAAGAAACAACATTCTGCATTTCTCTTTGCTCTTTTTTCCCCTTGTATGTATTATTTTGGGCTCATTGCTTCTTTCTTCTTAGCTTGTAGTGTGTGCATGTTTATTGTGCTATTCTGAATGAAATACAGTTAGAAATTCACGTAATGTGTTCAGGCATATAGAATGGATAGACAACGTGCAGGATGAAGCCTCAAAATAAGTTTAGATTCGTGGAGTTTCAAAATCCTCTTATCCTTATAAATAGGGAACATTTGTTATTCTATCATTATGAGTTTGAATTTTATAAACGAATAACTATTATGTTTAAAATAATATCTAATATTCTGAAATACCACGTAAGTTGTGTTACATGCATCACTTTATTGTCATTTCTTTTCTTCATTTAATATCTTCAACTAGTAGTTAAATTAGCTATTTTTCCCTCAATTAATACTTAATTTAATTACCCTACTGTAGATTATTATTAGTCGAAGTTATTCAGACGACGGCTATGGTTAAATTTTCATGTTAATGGATCGTTCGGCCAAATATAGCTTAACCACTAAGTGGTAAAGAAAAAGGAACCTACTATTATAAATTTATGGTCTTGACCACGTTGAAGAAGAGATTTCGGTTCTAAAGTCTGTTCACAAAGAATTAATCAAAGAGAAACAAGATTATAAGATCTTGTGGATTACCATTGGGGAAAAATGGAGCGAAAAAGAAAAGGAAATGTTTGAGTAGTTGAAATCTGAGGTGCAATGGTACGTGGTGCACTACTTCTCACTCAAAAGGTTTCATGCCGCTCCAAGAGCTGTGCAATTACCAGGTAAACCTATTCTGGTGGTCACCGATACTCGCGGGGAAGTAATAAATAAAAATGCAATGCACATGATTTTGGCATGGCAGAGCGAAGCCATTTCTTTTCTACCCGAGCACGTCCACAAACGCATCTTCGACCGGAACTGGTTTTGGATCGCAGCCTCTAGCATTTGTTCTGATATTAAAAAATGGCAGGTAATCAAGCACCGCTAACTTTTCAATCTTTGCACCGTTAATTTTTTATACAAAAATGTCATTAGTTCACCTACGGCGAAATTAATTATACCATTTATTAACTTCAATATATTCATTAAAAATGAATGTGGAGTCAAAAGGCTTTGACATTGCTTTCACTGAATACTACAACAAAAATAAATTGGAGACTACTATATATTGATCATTGTGTTAGCTTCCAATTGAATATCATTCTCTCTGGAGTCCCATTACACATATGTTGCCCAGATCCATCATGTGAAATCAAAATAGTGGAGATAGCATCAGTGAGTTACAAGTGCTGCCATGTGATGCATTTTGTCTCTCTGACCAAAATGGTGAAGCTTATCCCCAAGAACACGATAATAAGATCAATGCTGTATCGCTTTGAAGAACAAAGATGAAGTTAAATCTGATCACTCCGCTCCTGCTTTTATTGGAAAATCAAAGTGAAGTCCATGAACACTCTGATCGATCTTGCATGCTTTGATGAATTTGTGAAAAATTTACGTGTGTAGTGATATGCTATGCATGGCTTGTTTGTGTTGAGAGGTACTACAAATCAAGGCTTGTTTTGCCTGTTATCAGTATTAAATAATGTGGTGTGTGCATGTTTATCTTTATCATTCAATAAAATAAACTTGGACTGCTTCATGCCTGTTTCATATTAATTTTATTCATGCATGTGAGTGTGAAATTGTTATGACTAACTTTTCTCTCTAATATCTTTATGCATTTATAAGTTAACTAGTTTTGGATTAGTTTGAAATTTATTTTTGGGCTCCAAATCCTCTATCACATGTGGGTGTTACATCATTTCAAAAAGAGCTTCAACAAGCGGAATAACACAAGCAACTCAAAACCTTAAGAAAATAGGTGTATGAGTTTTTTTTTTTTTTTTATAGATTTCTAAATTGCCCATGTTTTATTCCACTTGTAATTATTTACACTTGATTTCAATGTAAACAAAATAGAATAAGATTTCTTCGCAATAATTAGAGTAAACTTTTAGTTTTTAAAATATGTAGCGTCATTTAAATTAATTTTTTAAAATTAAAATTTTAGTCTCTAAAATTAATAATTTTTTATTACATTAATCTTTATTATTAAGATACGTTAAAATTGAGTAATAGAATGATGATTTATCACGTTAAGTGATACATACCATATTATTATCAATATAAAATGATGTTATTTTAGAATTTTAATGCAAAATAGAAGATAAAGAGAGACTTTATTACTTAACAATATTAAAAGTTAAGAATAAAAAATAATTATTTTAAAAAAAATTTAAAATAATATTGTGACCAAAATGAATTGACACGTATTGTTTAACATGAAAAATTATCAATTAATGTGATTGATAATTATTAATTTTAGAGACTAAAATTTTTAATTTTCAAAATTTAAGGATTAACTTTACTTAAGTTACATAGTTTAGAAACTAAGAGTTTACCTAATAATTAACTACAAAATATAATAACAAAAGAAAATAAATTAATTTTTAAATTAGGAATGTTTATTATAACAAGTTTATACATCAACCCTTTGGAAGTAATTGGTGAGTTATATTTGCATTTTTATTAGTATTTTTAAATGAAAATGTTTTTTTGGGATTTTTTGTCTATCATGTCAAGTAATGTTTTTACTTTGTATATTTATTTTTTAATTTTGACTAGTTTTTTACTATACTTAATATAATACAATATTTATTCTTAATAATTAAAATATTTACTCCTTTTAAATTTATAATTTTTATTAAATTTTAAAAATTATATTATATTTTAATCAATTATTAAAAAATTATTTTAATTTAATTATTAGTTTATTTTGAATTTCAAGTTTTATTTACTATTTTCTGAAAAAATAAAATATACATTAGAAATCGATCTAATCTAAACCACTTTTAAATTGAAATAATTAAAATATGATTCGAATTTGAAATCAAATACATTCAATAATAAAATAAAAACTAATAAAATTAGATAAAATAATTTTTCTCCTGAGTGTTGATTTAATTTAATCTACGAAAGTTACTATTGAATGGATGAGTTTTTTTTTACCCTTGGTGAAAGGTCAAGAATGATGGTTTAAAGATAAATGATATACACTGGATATCTCCCTTCAAGAAGCCCAAGCTAAATCTTGGGTTTATGCTATTCCTAAGACAAAGCCACGTATGAATAAGTGTTTTAGCGCATCATTATCAACAGCAATCAAGGCTACTTCACTACTTAATTACACGATGTGAATGAACTTCATTAAAAATTAATTTTTTAGAAATCTAATTAATTAAAAGTTTTTTTTAATAACTTCTAAATTTCTTTTGAATATTCCACACTGGGTGTAGAAACAACGAAGCTATTAAAAGAAACTTTTTATTATTACACATTTTTCGGTACAATTACACAAATTTGTTTTGTTTTAAACAAACTTGCGTGACAAAAATAAAATGCAAGCTATATTAGAGGAATTTATTGTATAGATTATTTGATTACAGAGTTTGTATGCATGGTGCCAGCACAAATAAAAAATATACAATTTTGGCTAGTGTTTCAATCCTGTGCTCTTTTTCCTCAAACCTTTTACATAGCTGATTGGGAATATAGCCATGAAAAACAAAGGCATAGCATAGTCTAAAAAAAACTGCAGCACTTAAATATGGTACATTTTTTTAATAGCGAGTAACGCAGCTGCGACAGGATTTATGAATAAGAACAGCATTATCCTCACATAGCTCCTGCATGGAAATTTTTATTTATTAGTACACCAAGTCCACCCCCATAAAGCTCAATTCTGAATCAGTCAATAGAATAATAGAAATCAAGATTTCTCAATAAAGAAAACACGATCCCAATGAATTAGAAACTACTATGCATAGTCTAAAGATGCTTTTTTGTATGAATGTATTTTCATTTGTTTAATCCCATGGAAACGTACGAATTCTCACCATCTTTGCTCGAACTCTGCTCCATGTCAATCTGGTCTTGCCATGGCCACTTTAGATTAGAAGATGACGAACACTGTTGTGGAACAGAAAATGAATATGTGCTTGCACTGGTACACTGTTTCTTAAATGAAGAATCAGCTGTGGAACTCATGTCTTGATCAATGGTTGACACCCCAGTATCTTTGTTATGATTTTGTGAATTATTATCTTGGTTATGTGCCTCATCTGCCACACATTTTGGTCTCTTCCGAATAGGCGGGTCGTTCTTCGGATCCTGAAGTGCAGGCACTTTCTGATCATTAGCTGAAATAGTTGGACATGGAGTCTTGCCCTTATACATAACTTTTGAAATGTCCAAATTTTCAGCACTGTTGGAGTTGTCTACAACAACTTCATTCCTTGCTTCAGAGCCAGCAGCTTTTGCTGCTGCCTCAGATTCCCACATCTTGAATATAGCTTCAGTTAGTTTTTCTCTGGCCAAATCTACATCAATGATTGGCTTTGGATAATTTTGACCCAGCTCAACTCCTGATGCTCTAAGCACACTAAGGGGTGCATCCCAAGGATGATGGATCCACTCTGTTGGCATTCTTGCCAACTCGGGGAGCCATTGCCTTACATATTCACCTTCTGGATCAAATTTAGCTCCTTGAATCTGTCCCCAAAAGTGACACCAAAATTAGAAGAGCGAGATTCTTTTTCCATTGATTATTTTCTAGACTTCAAACAGTTGGAATTTACTCCTGATAGATGCAATGTGTCTTTAGAAAAAAAAAATTGAATTAATACTACTAACACATGAATCACTGCTGAATTTGGGTTTTAAGCCTAACACAACCCCCAACAAATAGCTTGTAAGGTAAAAATTGCTTTAGTTTTTACATACTCTTAATTAGTCATGTCTATAGTCCATGTGGGACTTTAACACACTTCCTCATGCTTAAAATTGGACATCTAAAGAGTGAAAATTGTATGATTCTATTTTATAAAGCACTGAATAAGCAACGGGACCAGGTAGGTAGAATTGATAAAAATCGTGGGCCTAGATTTTTTTTTCAGTCGAGGGTTACCCAATATTGAATCTACAGTAGGATCTGATATCATGTTGAATTTGGGCTTGAAGTCTAACTCGATTCCAAAAGCTAACTCATAAAGTAAAGATTGTTTTAACCTTTATAAGTTTTTATTTAGCCATGTCTATACGTGAGACTTCAACAAGTTAGACAAAAACAAGATATTCTTTAAGTGTTGAAGTAGTATTCCCTTTTAAAACTTGTACGAGAAATATAAAAGGATAAATTTCATCCGGTGTTAAATGAATTGAAGAAAATATGAAAATGCACCTAATTTTTCCACCAGCAGGAGGTAACATAGATTGAGGAAGTTTTTGTTTCACTGCACAGAATTAATATTTTCCAACCTTATGAAGTGTTAGGCGGAGTGTAATAAAATTCCTTCGATATCAAAAAATGGCACATAGGGACGGAGGTAAGGAAACACATGAATTTTTGCCCACAGTAGAATCAAAAGCTAAAGCAGGTAGTGATATGTTATACATGTTATATAGATTGAATAAAACAAAAAGTGTATAGAAATTAAATTATTAAATATAAAATAATCACAGCTGATTAAAACCAAGCAAACTAAAAGTCCATTCAATGAAGGAAAACATGACAAACCTCAGGATTGTCCAAGCGCTCAAGCTCGTGACCATCTGGTAAGCCCCCTGAGATATACTGCCAACCCAGGATATCACTTTCCAGGTCTGCATCCAAAAGTGTGTCCCAGAAATATTTCATTCCCCATTTCCAAGGTAGAAGCAACATTTTCACAGCAAAACTGGAAACTATTACTCTTATTCTGTTGTGTATCCATCCTGTTGCCCAAAGTTCTCTCATTCCTGCATCAACTAAAGGGTAGCCAGTCCTACCTTGTCTCCAAGTCTTAAACATATCAGGATCAGCATTCCAAGGAAAAAACTTTAAGTGCCCAAGAAGTGATCTCTCATGAGTGAAGGGAAAATTGAAACAGAGATAGCGTGAGTACTCTCGAAGTCCAATGGCCCTGAGAAAAAGATTTACACTCTCTTCACCAACACTATTGCCTTCATTTGCCCATAATATTTGTTTCATACGTGCCAATTGAAAAACTTTCCTCACGCTCAGTTCTCCAAAATGAAGATATGGAGACAAAAGTGAGGTGGAGTCTCCACCCACTTTTAGCCTATTCTTGGAGTAGTGAAGTAGATGCTGCTCCACAAATTCAGTTAACGTCTTGTCGGCATTTCTCCAACCTGGAGACCATGCTCGTCCTAGTAATGCATTGCTTGGTTTTTCCGATTCATTTTCAAGACCTAGTTCTTCAATTGAATATTCCGCAACTTTTCCTGTCATCCACAGAAGAAGAAAAACATTCTCAATTGATCTGTTTTATAGCACTCTCTCCCAAAAGAAAGGAGAAATTTAGACTGATTGATCTAGTAACAGAAGAAGTTGATCACATTACTGCTAGTTTTCATAATAGAACTGTCTTAAGACAAGACCTTTCAAGTTCTTAACCTCTAGCAGTAACCTGATCTCAATAATCATATTTCTGAGAAATGATCAAATCGGAGTACATGCATTATGCATATAGTCATATCATACCTTCAGCTGGAATTAATTGCCATGGAGGAATAAGAGAAACAACATTCATTTGCATGTGCAAGCATCTCTTCCAAAAAGGGGCAAAGGTAGTAAAAGTATGTCCCCTTTCATTATATATTTCCCATGGCTCATATAAAAGATCCCCATTGTAGCTTTGCACAGATATGCCAAGTTCTACTAGTTTTTCTTTGATGTTATGATCTCGGACAAGTGAAACTGAATCTAGTAAAACAATCACAGTAAGAAATGTTGGTCAGATAACTCGCATCCAAGTATGACAACATATATCTAGAAGTGATTTTGTTCATTATTAAGAAATCCTGTTAGTGGAGTTAATTTTCATGTCTCAACTTATTAAAACTTCCATCTAAAAAACTAGATAATTAATTTGACAAACGGAACAAAAGTGCTAGAATGCTCAAAACATGTAAAGCTTAAACAAAAACACAGTTTCGTACAAATACTTCATGTCATCTTGTATAATATGATTTTTAATGTGTTCAGGCATCTACAGAATCAGTGCATTACTTTTTAGAATTCTCTAGCTTTGACAGACATGCTATTAGGATACAAAGGGAAGGGAAATTTAGAATATTAGTTAATTAGAGGGGTTATATAAATAGGGGGAAGAAAGGTAGGAGGATTCATTTAGTTTTTTATTATCATTGGTGAATTGGGCAGGGGCAGCGGCTTAGTTGTAGAAACGGGAAAACCTTGGAAGAGAGATCCCTCTCCTATTTTCTGTTCTTCCTATTAAATTTAATAAATTCTTTCTTTCCTTTTTCCCATCTCTATTTATGGTTCCCAACGCATGCACTCTTCATTTGCAGTAATAGATTATCGAACTTAAACTCAACAAAAGTAGTAAGGATGAGAATGATGCCTGCAACAAGTAAAGTAATTGTCACTTAGTCACCATAGTAAGACATTCTCACGTTTACAAAGATATCTATTTTTTTATGTTAGTGGAAGCACTGTAAGGAACTGTCATGGCATTTACAGAAAAAGGCATTTTCCTCCTAGTCTGGATCAGAAGAACAAAAGGTATTTATCTGGCAGTTAAGAGATGTTATTCTTTATAAACCTCAGGCCACACTAGATGATATTCTCATACAAGTTTAGCTCAGGCTTTAATTTAATTGTCAAATCATGATCAACATACCACGTAATTGTATTCAGCTTTTGCCAATTCAAATGTCAGTCCACTTCAGGAAAAAAGTATGTATGAATCAACATTGATAATTCAATATTTGGAGGTAAAGACAAATTCAATTTCAAAATCTCCTCAATTTAATATTCCTCTGCTGTCAAAGAGCACAAGGATGAAAATAACATTTTATCTTCTCAGAATAAAAATACAATTTTGAGGATTCTCTTCAAGAAATATCCACCTTGAAGTTCTATCCTAACCCTCCTCAAAGTTGTCCATAGAATAAGCCTACTTGCTTCTCCGGCTTTTGGAGATCCAAAACATTAAGTGACACCAAACATATGATAGGAAGCACTTCAAAAATTGGCCAAAACATTTAAAACTGAAGGCTAATAAGTCTATACCATCTATCTTCTGGACAAAAGTACTTACCATACAAATGGTTGAACACAACTTTTGTTGCTTGAATGGCCTTTATACACTCCAAAAGAGCAGTGACAGTACTGTGGGTTTTGATGAGAACAAGTCTGGTTCCAAGAGACTTCAGTGACTGATCCAAGTGAGCAAGAGACTGCTTCAGCCACCACCTTGACACCCTTCCTGGATAGAATTGTTCTTCCTCTTTAGGGCACCATATATACACAGGAAATACAGAACCCTCCCTAGCAGCAGCAGCTAATGCAGGATTGTCTTCAATTCTAAGGTCCCTTCTAAACCACACAATAGTTCTGTTGCTACCCATGTTGTACACTTCAGACGTTTCGTGGCAAAGCCAAAGCTTTAAGCCTCATACAATAACTTCTCCACAAGCTTCTCATATCCAATAAAAGGCACAGAATTCACCTCAAAACTTCACAGTTCTCCTATTCAAGAACCTTACCAGCAGAAAATATCTGAAGAATGAAGATTGATAGAAAAGATATTGGATCCAAAGGTTGGATCTCGATTTTTGCCAAAATTAAAAGATATCTATAGAGCATAGAATAAGAGCCTCAAATCACTCCTAAAGTAGACCTAACTGGTAGCTTATCAAGATGTCCAACTTGCATGCCACTTTGCTTCCGTGAGGCATCTAACCTATTAAATCCTACTCAGAGAACCCATCCCCACATGTCTCACTCACCAATTTAAAGACCACCAGTAAATATAACAAAAAAAAAGGGGGGGAAATCTCCAAATGAAAAACAAAAGCGAGTAAAGAATAATAAATGTTACAAAAGCATAAATAGTATAGAACACTATCCAAAAACAACTAGAGCTTGAATATTCGAAATTATATAATAAAATAAACCCTTCAAGATTAAAAAAGATAGGATGATTAACTAGAAAGTTCTTAACCTCCAGCCACTCGAGTTATTTCAGGAAGATATCAAATACCCACCAGCAAGATATTTAGTATTCACAATCCCATCAGAGTTTAGCTGAAGATGAGACAAGGAAGCACCAAATCAAATCCAATTTAGGCCAACTTAAACGCCTAGTTAGCATGCAGTGTATATAGGGAATAGGAAGGCAACAGTGATTGAATCATGGCATTGTGTGAGGATCTGATTAGCGTGTGATCACGTGTGGAAGATCACATGGAACGTGCACTGATGATAGTGGGAGACAGACACGTATGATTAACAGAGACGAGAGGATAAGAACGTGGAACATGTCACTAGAGGCTACTAGCAGGTTCCACAATTTCATGAAAATGAACCAAATTTTACCACAAAGTCAAAAAAATATCCTGCAAAAGTCCAAAACTTGATAGGCGTAAGAACAAATTGCTGTACGTTGTAACTTTGTGAGAAAAATAATGATGACATGGACTTGCCTTGCATATCGATGCAATGAAACCATGTACTTTGGTGAATGATGCCAACAACATTAGTACTATAACTAGATTTTTTTTCCTCCTTGAGTACGAGTATTATGATAGTTTTTGGGGTACATATGCAGATTATGTTGATGGTAAAATATGTTTTAAATTTTTATAAATATAATTAAATATATTTTCTTTTTTATTTTCAATTATTTTTATTTTTTATAAATTTAAAATATTACATTATATGTTATTTCAAAATAATTGCTGATGTAATATTATTATATCATATTATACACTATTCAATTATTATTGTTTAAAAGTTATTAAAATCAAAATATTAAAATTATTTTGATCATGTTTACGATAACTAGTTAACAAATGCTCTTGGATTTCATTTTGTGGTTATTATTACTCGCTCAATCGCCTATTTATCATCACACTATTAAAAAAATGGTTCTTATGATAAGAAGTCACACATTTTTTCAAAAAATAAAAGTATTAAAAAATCATAATTAAATTACATGTGCATTTTAAGTATTTGTCGTAAAAAATTATGTTGACAAATGTTTACAAACCATAATTACTAATCAAGAGAAAGAAATTCGATTTTTTAGCAGAATTATAAATATTTAATCAGGAAAACAGGATTAGGGATAGAAAAAACAATTGAATTTATTTATACAATCATATATAATCATCACAATCAACTAATGAAGTTAGTATTTATGCATATCATACTCCTTATTTATTTTTCTTTACTTTCCTCATAATATCTCCAGCTTAATAGGCAAAAGATAAATATTTTAAGATGAGGTCAGAGACTCTCAATTATATTTTTGTTTTTCTTATATGAATCTCAAAATTGAACCTAAAATAATTTGTTTAAAGAATTCAAGTCTCGTTTACTCAAAACAACGCATGTTGGTGGCAAAACAAATACTCACACGTGACAAGTGATAGCGTTAATAACATTTTTGTGATTTTATAATTATACATTATTTAGCATCTCATTATAGTTAGTTTTTCTTTCTTTCTTTTATATAAACTTAAACTCGAATTTTACTTTGTATATGTGATTGGGGGTGACGGTGTCGGTTATCCATACTTAGTGCTTCTTTTGGAAAGATTATTTTGTAAGAAACATTAATTTCAATTCTATTGAGAAACTAATAAAAATAAGTGATTATTATGTTTTTTTATTTAAAAAAATACCTGCTTGATAGGGTTTAAATTTAGAAAAATGATTACTTATTTTTTTTAAAAAATAACAAAATTCATAAAAATAAAAATAAAATTCACACTAAATTAAACTATCATTTAATAAGCTTCATTAACAAATTTTTATTATATCATTTACACAGAACAAACATTTCAATAGTCAAACATTAATTTCACATCATTTGACCATAGAATAAAACAAATACAAAGTGTGAATATAAAAGTAGCATTACTCTTATTGAATTCAGTAGCAGAAGAACCACCTAAACCTAAACACAAATTAAGCTTGATTTTTTTTTTCTTTTGTTTGGGTCATAGCCTAAATTATTTGAAATACGTTTATTATTTTGGTAGGCCTCCACACTTGCGCAAATGAATACCCTAGGACGTGAGATACCCTCACTTCATTGGGTCAGAATTTTCTGAATTTGTGGCACCAACTACATTCTGCAGTTAGTGTTATTTTTGCACTTTTGTTCAAATAAAAATTTCTTGCTTAAACAAAAATAAAAAAATAACTAATTGCAAGATGTAATTACTGTAGAGCATCTTAGTCCTATTTCATTATCATCTATCTTCACTGTACATTTTATTAAGAAAGAGAATTGAGCAGGTCATAATTTAATTGAATGTATTGTCCTTTAAAATAGCAATATTATAAGTCAAATGACATAATTATGTAGTGAATTATTTATGAGGATACGCTGCGTTTCTGCATATTATGCTATCTTGACAAATCAGTGACAATATTAACACTAAAGTTTTAGAACTCAAGAATTCATGGATAAGTATTTTAAGTAAAATTGAATCATGAATTTCCCCCCAAAATAATAATAATAATAATAAATCCAATAATAATTACCATAGACATTCTACTTAACATAGATAAGATGGTATGAACCGTGACATGAAAGGAATATACCCTTTTTTTATAGAATACTTTGGTACATGTCAACCGTTAAATATAGTATATGTGATGATGTTATGACTCAAAAACATGTTAAAAATAGAATAACATATTTGCTGTTAGAAACTATTAGTTTCCAATTCAGTTAAGACTGTTAGTTTCCTTTATAAAGTTTGTTTATAGTCTTATTATAAGTGAGGTATTAGGTAGATTCTTTTCTTGTGGATATAGGCCACATTAGCTGAACCACATTAAAGATCTGGTGTTTTTCTTCTTTTCCCTATCCTTTTTAAGTTGTCTGCATTTTCTGTTTTCTGTTATTTGTTTTTGGTTTGATTTGTGAGGACACGAAACACATTGTGAGGACACGACTCTACAAGTGACGTCGTCTGTGGGGACAATCAAGCTAGAAACTTCAAGAATGAGAACTACCATGTATGACATAGAGAAATTCTCAGGAGACAATGATTTTGGCTCGTGGAGGATCAAGATGGATGCTATCTTGACTCAACAAGGATGTGCAGAAGCTATTAAGGGAGAAAAGAATATGTCAAGCTCATTAACTCCCAAGGAAAAAGCTGATTTGAGTGAGAAGGCAAGAAGTGTTATAATCTTGTGTCTTGGAAACAAAGCTTTAAGAGAGGTTGTAAAGGAGAAAATTGTTGCAGCAATATAGAGCAAGCTAGAATCTTTGTACAAAACAAAATCCTTGACTCAAACTTTGTTTGAAGCAGCAACTATACTCTTTCAAGATGGATGAAACAAAATTAATTAATGAACAATTGACAGAATTTAATAAAATTCTGAATGACTTGGAGAACATTGAAGTGAATCTTGGTAATGAAGACAAGGCCCTTTTGCTGTTGAATTCTCTACCCAAGAATTATGAACATTTCAAAGATGTTCTTTTTTTTTGGCAAGGAACAGACCATTACGTTGGAAGAGGTCCAAACCTCCATCAGAACTAAGGAGTTGCAAAGGCAACGGGAAACTAAGTTTGACAGTAATGGGGAAAGCTTGAATGTGTCAAGGGGAAGAACTGAGAAGAAAATGCAAGGACAGAAGGGTAATAGGTCTAAGTCTAAGTCCAAGAATGGGGAAAAGACTAAATACAAGTGCTTCAATTGTCACAAGACAGGTCATTTCAAGAAAGACTGTCCTAAAAAAGGCAATAACAATGCAAGGCTCTCTACTGATTCAGCAGACTTAGCAGCTGTTACAGATGGGTATGAAAGTGTAGGAGTTTTGGTTGTCTACATCACAAACCTCAAAGGATTGGGTCATGGACTCAGGCTGCTCCTTTCATATGTGTCCAAAGAAGGATTATTTTGAGACCTTGGAGCTGAAAGAAGGATGAATAGTCTTGTTGGGGGATAATCATCCCTGCAAAGTGCAAAGTCTTGGAACCATCAGATTGAAGATGTTTGATAACAGGGAATATCTCCTCAAGGATGTGAGGTATGTGCTTGAACTAAAAAGAAATCTTATCTCTATAAACATGTTTGATGTTTTAGGATACTCAACTAAAATTCAGCATGGTATTCTTAAGATTTGAAATGGAGCTTTAATCATTGCTAAAAGTAACAAGGATAAAAATAATGGCTTGTTTATCTTAGATGGTTCTGCTGTGGTTAGTAATTGTTTAATTGATAAAGCAAAATTGTGACATCTTAGACTTGGGCATGTTAGTGAAAAAGAATTAATTGAATATGAAAAACAAAATTTACTTAAGGGTGAAAAATTGAATAAGTTAGATTTCTGTGAAAATTGTGTTAGAAAAATCTTACAGGATTAAATTTGGGTCTGGCATGCATGTTTCAAGTAGACTTTTTGAGTATGTGCATTCTGATTTATGGGGACCTTCAAGGGTTAAAACTCTAGGTATAGGTTCTTATTTCTTTACCATAATTGATGACTTTACTAGAAGAGTTTGGTTGTATGTGTTAAAGGATAAAACTAAAACTTTTAAAAGGTTTAAGGAATGACACACTTTGATTCAAAACCAAACAGGATATAAACTTAAGGTTTTGTGAACTGAAAATGGCCTGGAGTTTCTTTCAGAGTAGTTTGTTGAGTTTTGTAGGAATCAAGGTATTAAAAGACATAGAACAATACCTAATACACCTTAACAGAATGGCCTGACTGAAAGGATGAATAGAACTATTTTGGAAAGAGTGAGATGTATGCTTCTTGGAGCAAGAATGCCAGAGTTTCTGAGGAGAAGCTGTCACTATTGCAATATACTTGATAAATAGGTGTCCCTCATCAGCTTTAGATTTTAAAACTCTTATGGAAGCATGGAATGGGCAGCCAGCAGACTACTCAAGACTGAGAGTATTTGGATCACTTGCTTATGCTCATATTAAGGAAGGAAAGCTAGAACCAAGAGCTGTCAAGTGCATTTTTCTTGGATATCCTGAAGGTGTGAAGGGTTACAAGTTATGAAGACTTGAAGCAAGAGGAGGAAGGTGCATTATAAGCAGATATGTCACCTTTGATGAAACTAAAATGGGTATGTTGATGGAGGAACAACAGAAAAATACTTCAAACAGGGAACATACTCAGTTTGAGGTGGAGTCTCTTACTCAAGTTTCAGATACAAAAGGAGAAAATTCTGAAGTTATAGACTCAAAAATAAAACCAGCAAAAACATCTAGCTCTAGTGCAGGTGCAACTACAAACTTGTATAATGATTCTAATTATCAGCTGGTCAGAGATAGAGCTAAGAGGATTTATAAACCACCAAACAAATTTGGCTATGCAGATTTGATTTGTTATGCTCTTAGTGTGGCAGAAGAAATTCAAAATCTAGAGCCAAGAACCTTTAAGGAAGCCATGGAGAGTTGTGAATCATAGCAGTGGATGAAGGCTATACAAGAAGAAATGGAATCTCTTATGAAGAACCAGACCTGAGAACTTGTAGACTTACCAAAAGACAGGAGAGTTGTGAGTTGTAAATGGATCTTCAAGAGGAAAGAAGACATACCAGGAGTGGAGTCACCAAGATTCAAAGCAATGCTTGTAGCAAGGGGTTTTACTCAAGTTGAAGGAATGGATTACAATGAAATCTTTTCACCTGTTGTGAAACATTGTTCTATAAGAATTTTATTGAGTTTAGTGAATCAGTTGGACCTGGAATTGGAGCAAATGGATGTGAAAACAACATTTTTACATGAAGAATTGGAGGAAACTATCTTTATGAAGCAACCATAAGGTTTTGCAGCAGAACAGAATAAAGTTTGTTTGCTAAAGAAGTCTTTATATGGCCTAAAACAGAGTCCAAGAATGTGGTACAAGAAGTTTGATGCTTTTCTTGTAAAGTTTGGCTTCAATAAGTGTAGATATGACAGTTGTGTGTATGTTCTTAAGAGAAATGAGGAGTGTGTGTTGTATTTACTGCTATATATGGATGATATTCTGTTGGCCAGTCCTAACATAAAAGAGATAAAGATTTTCAAAGATAGACTCAGTTCTGAGTTTGAAATGAAGGGACCTTGGACCAGCTAGAAGGATCTTAGGCATGAACATTGTAAGGAACAAGACTGATGGAGAACTGTTTTTATCTCAGCAAAATTACCTAAAGAAAGTGGTTAAAAGATTTAGAATGCATCAATCTAAGCTTGTCCACGCACCTTTGAGATCTCTTACTAAACTTTCAGTTTCTCAAGCTCCTAAAACTGAGGAAGAAAGGAATGAAATGAAGTTTATCTATCCCTTATGCAAGTGCTGTTGGCAGTATCATGTATGGAATGGTGTGCAACAGACCAGACTTAGCTTATGCTATTAGTTTTATAAGCAAATTCATGGCAAATCTTGGTACAGCTCATTGGAATGCTCTTAAGTGAGTGCTTAGATATCTTAATGGTACATTGGATTGTGGTTTGAGATTTAAGAAGAGGCTAGCTAGAAGTGATACTATAATAGGGTATGTGGATGCAAATTTTGCAAGTTGTATTGATACCAGAAAGTCTATTTCTGGTTATGTTTTTACCTTGTTTGGGACAACAGTCACTTGAAAAGCAAATTTACAATCAGTGGTAGGTTTATCAACTATTGAGGCTGAATACATTGCTTTTATAGAAGGTGTAAAGGAAGGATTATGGTTAAGGAGTTTGGTTAATGATCAAGGCATAAGTCAAGCTAGGATTAATATCTTTTGTGATAGCCAAAGTGCTATTCATTTGGCAAACCATCAAACTTATCATGAAAGGACTAAACATATTGATGTGAAGTTTCATTTCATTAGAGAAGTGATTGATTCAAAGGAGGTTCAAGTGCTGAAAATTGCAACTGAGAAAAATCCTGCAGATATGTTGACAAAGTCCCTTCCTAAAGTAAAGTTCAAGCATTGCTTGGACTTAATCAATTTCACAAGGTGATTGAAGATAAGTGGGAGAGCAACTCAAGGAAACAACTTATGTCTAATGTTTTAGAGTCAAGGTAGAGATTTGTGATGATGTTATGACTCAAAAACATGTTAAAAACATAATAACAGATTTGCTGATAGAAACTGTTAGTTCCCTTTATAAAGTTTGTTTCTAATCTTCTTACAAGCGAGGTATTAGGTGGATTCTTTGTAATCAGTTCTTAATAAATTAGTGAATGAGTTTTGGTTGCTCTCTCCTGTGAATGTAGGCCACATTGGCTGAACCACATTATAAATTTGTGTTTTTCTTTTTTTCCCTATTCTTTTTAAGTTTTCTGCATTTTCTGTTATTTATTTCTAGTTTGATTTGTGAGAACATGAAATACCTTGTGAGGACACGACTCTACATCACCTGTAAGAGAAACTCCATGATTAAGAATCTCTCCACTAAAACTAGTTTTTCCAGTGACACTGCTGGGCATGACAAGCATTAAGACTTGAAATTCTCTAATAATCTGTCGACTCACTTTCAAACAGAAAAAGGTTTACAGGATTAACACGACCCAAGACAACTATATTTCTATCTACTGTTCCCATTTTTATATAAAAATTTTGTTAACATCAATTTTAAGCAACTAACTACTTTATTTTTTAATAAAAACCTTCATAACCAGTTAATGTAATTTAGATGGTTCATACTTTCTAATAAAAAAAGACAGAACCGTTAACATCAGATATTAAATTTAAATATTTATTTTGTTTAATAACTTTTTATAAAATAGAATATTGATCAATTAAACCATTAAATTATCTTATATTATTCTTATGATAACAAAAGTTAATCTATTTAATAAAAACTTTCAAATCAGTAGTTAAATTAGTCAATCTTACATTTTATAAGCAATTATTAAATGACTTGAGTGTTTAAATTAAGACTAAATATCAAGGGATCCAAATTCTAATAATACTAGAGAATGGTAATATATGTTCCCACTTTTGAGAGAAAACAGATAAAAATGAAAGGTCAAGGAAGGTAGTTGGCAATAATGGTGGTGGTGCCCCAGGCTTTTGCATAATATCATCGGGTAGTTAGAAATCAATGACATTTATTATCTGGAAAAATTGGGAGATTGAAAATAAAGGCAAGTGAATGGGTATGTGAAATCTATGGAAAAAAAATGTTTAGTTCATATGCTATTATTTGCAGCGCATATTTTCCATCACTCGTGTGGCTTGTTTTCGTTAGTTTCCAAGCCTGGTGCTTCAGAAAACAAATATTCCTAGGTTGGGACTGGCAACAAAAATGAATCCACACAAGAATTGGCATGCAACAAACTAGATTCATCAATTGCTTCCGATGACAGAATTTGAATTGCATAAACAGAAGTCGAATTTTCAATAATCATCATAATTATATTAATCTGCACCTGAGAAGCATCATGGCAATAAGGAAGAGGTCAAATTCCCCTGCAGTGGGGTTTCTTAGGTAGGAACCCCTAATCAGCCTTCAGAGGTGTAGGTTATTTACTTGATAAATGATGATAAGTTATTTATGTGAAATGTATCCAACAGAAAAGACCATACTAAAACTTAAGGGTATCAGTCAACATCATTCCCTGAGTTGTCAGATATCCTAAATACATCACCAAGGTATAAACCTCCGGTGTAGCAGCTCAGTTTGCACGGTCTCTGAGGACTTCAAGATCCATCTCTGTTGGGTCCGTTGCCTGAATTTCATAATGGATGCCCTGCAGCTCCCTTCTAAACCTGTCCTTGGATGTTGCATAAAGCATCTTCGGACGAATGCGAGCCACCGAAGGAGACCTATAAAATAAACAATCCATAAAATAAACTGAATAAAGTCCAGTAAAGGAGAAATTTATGTTTTTTAATATATTTAACAGTTCAAGATTGACATCCAACCGAAGGAAAGTTGTCTGATGAAAGATTATGTCAACTTTTGGTAAGGGAGCATCAAATAAAAGACCTTTTCAAAGGCTACAGATGTACATGGATAGTTCTAGCACTTAGCAAAACATTCTGTCAGAAACCTCAAATTCCTATAAATTATTTCCAGACTTTGAAGTGATTCTTGGAAACATACTTATAGTCTACCATGTGGTCTGAAGTTCAAAAGGTATTATAGTGACTATCCACTTTACATTTTGCCATCAGCTTTCTACTTTACCCAGAGACACATCTTTAGATGAGCAAAGTGATTACAATGCCCTCTCTCAGATTTGTCTTAGTTTATAAGAATATATCCTTCTTTTAAGACTTGAGCGTAAGATATGTAATTGCAACAGTAAAATGCTATATCCACATATGTAAAGCAGTGTATGCCAAAATCAATGTAAGAAAACTGAATGATTTCATATGCAATTTCTATCGTTGTACAATAAACTATGTAACTAACCATGCAATAAAAAAGATTTTGCTCTTTTGGCAGTTCTCAGATGTCACAAAATCAAAGTCGAAGACAGCATATCGGCAATCATTTTCAGGCAAGGATGCAGTAAAATCATCATAGCTCTCAGCAGGGCCTCCAGTTTTTTCAACCACAACCTCTTTCTTTTTCTCATCAATCTTAAAAATCACATAGCGATAAACTTTCTTCCTCTGCAGTTCCAGGTATGTGTTTATGCTATGCTCAGCAACACCCATGCCAGAAGAAGCATTTCCCTACATTGAACCCACATATTAATTATAAAGTATAGTCAATTTTAAATTAAATGTTTTAGCCAACCAATAATAATAATGTCCTTCAACAACACAACTTCAACAATCCCATAGGACATACAATCATACTCCTAAGGCATGTGATTTCTCTTACTCCAGGGCACAAGATGCATATACAGTAAGTGTGTAAAAAATGTCAAAACAGTACAATACTACAATCATATACTTGTCATGCATCCACTACCCTGGATTAAGAGAAATTTCTGATATATTAAACTAAGTTGGAAGATAGGCATCCCTAAAGGTAATTGCAACTCAAAGCAACTTCATGCATCAGAAAGGAATGAAGTACTCAAAAAGCTTTCTTTTGGTAGCATATGATCTAGTTTGGTTTCTTAACCTTTTCGTAAGAACATTTGTATCATGAACCCTGTTGAAATTTAAACAAAAAAAATCTTCCCATTTTCAATTTCTAAGCCGTATTCATAACCAACCCAAAATAGCACTTAAAACATAACATATGCCAGGTCCAACACCAATGCATCAACGACAAGCATCAAAACACTAGCATCAAGGACCCAAATCAAGGAAAACACAAACAAACGAAACGAAAGAAGTTGAAAATAAAAATTAGAAAAAGAAAGATAGAAAAAAATTCGTGAGAAACATCATCTGCAATATCTTCGTAGCTGTATACTAAGATCGACGACATCAATTTAGTGTCAAGTGAATGTAACAAACTAAAAACTCATGATTAAACAAGATACTTATTAAAAAATAAAATTAAAAATCCAATAATGGAGAACCAAAATTTGTAGTGAGAAAAACACTAAATCCGAGAGCAAAAAAAAAAAAAAACAGCAACAACAACAACGTTTGTCGAAATCTAGCTTACAACAACACAGTCAAAATAAGAAAATTAAAAAAAAAAAAAAAAGGTGCGGCACGAAGGTGGAAGAGCAAAAGCAAGCTTACCCTTCCCACTCCCATTCTGAAAGCCATGGCTACGCTACAGTGTGCAAAGAAGAGAGATTTCTTGAGAGAGAAAGTGTGTGAGGAAGAGAGAGAGAGGGGAGAGAGAAATTGTGTGGAGAATAGAAGAGGAGAAAAACGCAGCTAGCAGCCACCGAAAGGAAAATTGGAGAAAATAGTTCAAAATTATTTATTCTATTGTAAAGAAAATATAAAAGGAAATTAGAAAAAAAAAAAAAAAGGTATATATTCTCGTCACTTTCCTAGAAGAAAGGGAAAGAGGTAAAGTAAAACCGAAGGAAAGGGAAAACAAGGACAAAAAGGAAACGCAACTAAGAAACACTGGGCAATGTCGTTTTGTAGGTTTTTCTCTTTTACTTTTCTTTAAAAAGAAACTTTTTAGAAAGGTGCAAGCAAGGTAGCAAAAGAAATGTCGTCTGACTCGTTTCGTGCACGCTTAATTGATTGATTTTAATTTAAAAAGGATTTTACAAAATCAGATAAAATCAATTTAATTAAAATTTTGTTTGATTTAATCTGAATCATCGGATTATAGTAAAAATATAACTTACTAAAAATTCAATGTTTTCATCCTCGTTTATTTCATTTTTTTTAATTCTTAGTTTTCGTAATTCAAAACATTTAGCAAATTAATTTTAAATATTGGTTTTAGTTTCATTAATAGTTTGTAACTTATGCATTCACGTATGTAAATTTTTAATTAATTTATTTAATTAAATATAATAAAGTTTGATAATGTATATTTGTAATACAATCAGTAATTATTTAATCACTAAAGGTAAAATAAAAAAAGGAAGAGATATAAAAAAAGTAGAAAGAAAAGAATTAAACCTAAAAGGAAACATGTTTAGAAGTTTCTAAGAAATATTAAATAATTAATTAAAAATTAAGGCTCGATTGTAAAACTTAAAATGAATAAATTTATAAATTAGTCATTGAGATAATAGTAGTCAAGCATATTAGTTTTTTAAATTCTCTATTAGTCTCTTACATAATAAGTCATTAGAAAATTAAGGCTCTTATTTTATTAATATATGAAAAATTTTAACTTTTGTGTTAAATAACAAGTAGATATTGAAATGACATTATTTCACTTTGACCAATCTTGTATTATCGTTACTATTTTTATCTCCTATATTCTTGCCCTCTATTCATGGTGTTCATAGTCGCTCTACCATTTCTTGCTTTCCTCCTCCACTAACTCTACATCCTACACTGCCATCCTTCCCAAAAGCTCCCACTACCCCTTCCCTCTCCCTCCCTCCCTCCCTCCCTCCCTCTCTCTAAATTATGATATTGGGGCTATTATTGTAACTCTCTCTTACGTTGCTAGTTCATAGGTTCACGTTCAAGGAAGAAGAAGATACACTATGATTCGTAGCTGATTTGTGTTCCATTCGTAGTGGGTGTGCGTGATTATGTGTTCAGTTCGTCGTAGAGGGATTGAGGAGAAAGATAAGAACAATGACTTTGGCTTACGATTTGTGAGCTCTTAGCGATTACAGGTTGAGCAAGATGATGGGAATAATATTTTTGGCTTACGATTTGTAAGCTTTGAGCAGCTAGATGATGTTCTTATGTTTTAGGTCATGATGGCAGTTGAAGCGAATAACAAAAATAGGAAGAGAAAGAGAGAGAAGGTTGTGGGAAAAAAATGCGAACTACTGAGGGACTGAGTTACAATGGTGTGGCTCTGAGGAGAGGAGTAAAGAGAGAGAAGGGTGGTGAGGGCGCCAATCACTCTGAGCGGCATGGCTATGAAGAAAGGGAAGAGAGAGACAAAGAGAGATGTTGGGGGCTTTAGGGGCACCAACAATCGTGAGTGGCATAGCTTATGTTAATCGATGCAGTGCAAGTTAGACAAAATATAACAATTTATGAGAAGAGTTGCAAAAAAATAATAAAGAATGAGTGGAATTGGTAGATATTGCATTGAGTATGCCTATGCTAAACATTAGCACGCCTCATGCTCAGCTGATAGGACTTTCTAAAGGGAGCGTGCTTAGCGTCAGCGCACCATGTGCTAGACCTCAGATAGGCACACCTTGAGCTCTACACCAGCACACTCATGTTGGACTCGTAATACTTTGGTCAAACGCATGCTCAAGAGGAGTACATACATGCTGAATTACTAAAGTCTGTGTCAAGGACATGCTCAAGCTGGATTACTGGAATATTTGTTAAGAGTTTACTCAAGAGTAGCACACCCCATGCTAACAGGACGTTGTTCTCTGTTAAAAGCATTTTTAATTTGAGCATGCTAGTGTTCAATCTCTACGACACAAGTCATAAAAAAATTAGGGATTTTAAGATGTCAAGTCACATCTTTTAGATTCTACATTTTATACAAATGGGTCTCACTCTTTTGTAAAGACACACTTAACTTATTATTCCTTTCTTTGTACACTAAAATCCAAAATCTTCTTACTAAACTTATTTCTTTTTTTATCACATCAAAATAAATTAGTCCCATAATTTTTTTTATTATTTATGGATATGAACGTTTTTGTATCCGGCTACTTTTACTTTCATCATTATAATTATATGTAACTAAATATCTCTTGTAATAGGATTAAGCTAAATTCTGTTATGTAATTCTTTTCAACATCAGTTCGATTTTATGATATTAATGTTATTTGTTAATTATAATTATCTTTTTTATGTTATTATTATTTTTGAATTGATTACTAAAAAATAAATTATAGTTAATTAATTGATAGATGATAGTACCTTTAATAAATTTATTGTATTAAGAAGAATTTTGAGTTTATAAATTAAGAGATCAATTTATTTGTTAAACCTCTAATTAGTTAATTAAATTTAGTAAATTTAATATTTTTTATATTCTTATTTATTTGTTGCTACTTGTAATAATTAGACTGACATATAGATAATAATACTATCATTATTGCATAATTAGTAAATAATAGTAATAATCAATTATATAATTAGTAATTACTCTAATATATTTAAATAAGGATAAATTGAGGAAAACATAGAAAATTATAAGAAGAAACGAAGCCTCACACTTTCATCCATATCAAATTAATTTTGTGACTTTTCTGTTTTCTATTTTTTTCTTTAATTTTAAAGTTTAATTCAGATATTTTCAACCTTTGAAGTTGCTTATCGTCTAAATAATAATATAATCTATGTGGCAATGATAGGAGGGTTTAAAAATTGAATGAGTCCATTTTTAATTGCATAATCAAACCGAAAAGACTAAGACTGAAAAAACTAAAAAGTAAAAATACTGCAAATAAAAAAAAAATTGCTCTTTTCTCTACGATTTGATTTTCAGTTCCACTCAAGAAAATCAAATTGAACTGATGCAATAAATATGATTTTTTAAATTTCTATTATATCCTTAATGATGTATACACAAACCCTAGTTCCTTTTCCTTAATTCCTAGTTTCCTTCGTCGTTGCATCATCTCACGCTCCCTCTTCGCTTTCCTTTCCAAGTCTCTATCACTTCACAATGTAGACGTTGCATCTCTGCTCTCCTTCATTTTGCTCTACATCTCCACTTACACTAACAACGTTCACCCCTGCATCTTCGCTTAAGCTCTCACAGTGATGTCACACACCTTTGCATCTCTGCTCACGCTCAATGCTCACATCTTTATTCTCCATTGCCCCTACTTTGAACTTTGCATTGTGATATTTGCAACAATTTGAGGCCTCATCGGTGAGCTATTAGAGAAAAATTCACAAGTCTTGAATCAAATCTTTACTAATCATGCTTATCTCTAAGTGAGCTCATGCCATCTTTAAATGATATAATAAAGAATCCCTTGGTCTAAAAGGCTAAAACATAATTTTTGAACCGACCTTGTTAGTTATTTGTGCATCAAGCAGACTTGTTTGTTCTATATTTTCTTTGTTTCCTCATTTTCCCTCAAAGTCCCCTTTTTATTTGGTTTTTATTAAGGTCAATAATAAAAACCAAATAAAAATTTATTTGTTTTTTATTTGGAATTGAGAAATTCTTGTTTTTTTTCTTCACTTTCTTGTTTTTTGATGTTTAGGTGAAAAACACTTATATGCTAGATTCTTGATAAGCCTTTTGTTTTAAGGTTTTGAGTTTGACCATTGATTGATGAAGGCTTATAACTATGTTTATTGAGGTCTTTTCAATTATAACATATTTGAAAGTAACAAGATAACATTGCAGATGTGAACATAAATTGTATTCTTAAGTGTTTTTTAGAATTTATACTATAATATCAAAGCATATGTATTCTTTGTATTTTTATAGTATCTATAGAATACAATTCAATAATTGAAGCAATCTTTTTATGCTTGTCCTATATTTAAAGCTAAAAACACATATTCAACTTTCAAATGTTTTCTTATAGTATCTATATGAATACAATTCAATAATTGAATCAATCTTTTTATGTTTGTCTTTTCTGAAGCCGTAAACACAAATTTAACTTTCATATAACAGACTAAGGTTTTGATATTTGATTTGAGTAGAATTTGACATTTGTAAAGTTATGTTAGCATAGTTCATCAATAGATTTATTGATCTCTGTGAATTAATTGAATAAAGAGATATTTAAGTATTTATAACACATACAATCATCCTTTGAGAGGTGTATCAATGCTTACATGTACTCATTGAATTATTTTTTCTTTATGCTTTTTTTGTTGTTTGATATCATGCCCAAATTTTGTCATCAACCTGGCATCATTGTATCCTAAGATGTTGAAAAAATGAAGAAATTACTATAGCTAGAATATTTTAAAAGTATCTGACGACTGTAATATAGTTTAATTTTCTAAATATGGCTTTATGGTTTATATATCTGTATCATTTGCATTATTAAGAAATTGTTGGTGGTTGTGATGCTCATTAGATTTTTTTAATTTCTTTTTCTCTTATTTCCAATCTCAGGATAACATTAAACATTTTAGCCAAACAAGAGACAATATCCTCAAAATTTTGAACGAGTAAGTTATAAACTGTTTTATGGTTGTTTAATAATGTTACTCTCTCATGTAATAAAAATGTTACTCTATTTATAAAGAAAGACATAGTTATCCAAGAATTTTTTTTTTCTTTTTATATTGTGATTTATAATAGAAATCTAAAGTGAAAAATAACAGTTAAATAAATCTTTTTTTAAGT